AGTTAATGCGACAATCATACAATGGTATGAAACGTTTTATTTTAATCCAGAACTCCCATTAAGCAGCTCACATCGATTTTTTTTTTATTGCTCGAGCAGGCAGACGAGCATACCGCCCACCTGATGGTACCACCACCTCAACCAGTTTCGAAATTGCCAGTGAGGTCACACACTTTGCCGAGGTGTGGATCAGCGCCTCCGAGAATCGCTGGCCCTCGTCTCACTATTACACCACAGGATATAGCCAATGTGAAGTTAAGGAAAACTAAGGTACTTGAACTATCAGAGACTTTTGCGAATAGGTCCAATCGGGATAAAATTATTTTTGTCTTTATCACATATTTTATAAAAAAACTCAAAAACGGTTTGTATTGGCACACTAATTTCCTGTGGCTTTTTTTTATTGCCCTTGTAGGGGATACGATCATACAGCTCACCTAATGGTGAGTGGTTACCGTCGCTCGTGGACGTCAACAATGCCAGGGGCAGAGCCAAGCCGCTGCCTACCGCTAAATTAAGAGATACTACTTAGAGATACCGAATTTAAGAGATACTAATTTAAGAAATTAAGTTTAAGTTTAGTAAGAGTTTAAGAAATACTATAATTATAAGAATGGTCAGCATTTTCAGGATGACAGTAACGCTTTTATAATCATCGATATATACTTCATATTGCTTATTAAATGGCTCTTTACTCTAGAACCTTTTCAGCACGGCCGCTCCCTCGCGTAGAAGGCAAGCCGGATTGAATAAAACACCAAACAGTTCAAAATGTAATCTTTTTCAGAACTTTTTAGTTATCGGTATAATAAAATAAACTCATGATCCCTTCTGTTATTAATGATTCTCGATGTCGGTAGAATACAAAACTGAGCCACCACCCGTACTACTAGACATCAGATCGAACTCCCAAATTTTATTATAAAACAGGAGTTCCCATCTTTCGAACCGGATTAGAGGACTATTTACTTGGCAATAGAAATAGATATAATAATGATTCCACCCGCGCAGACTCACGAACACGCCATATTAAAAGAGAGGTACCGAAATTGATAACTTCGTGAATTTTATTTTTATTATATGTCATTCCTTGGTTGTGGAAGATGTTCATTAATTAATACGTGTCAGATACGTATTCCCTTTTTTTTTTCCACAGGAGAAAATCGCCGGATCCCCACCCGCGCGGCAGGTGGGGTATGTGGGAGTTGAACCTCACTAAAAACTCCTGCCGCCCACAACCGGCGCCCTACCTCGGACCGGGCCGGAGCCCAGTCGGGGCTATTGAAACGGCGGGACAGGGTTGACGCAGAGCACATTACATCCATCCCACCGTCCCACGGACGCCGGACCGGTGGCCGCCAGCGACACGACCACCGGTTCCCTCGTTCAGCGGGCCGAGAGCCCGCTTTGATGGCGCCGCGTTACACCTTCCCCCNCGATAGGACGATACCCGGCGGCTGTATCCACCGGGCGCCCCTCCTTCCTCAACAACACAAGTCTACCCGTCCGCCAGAGCGACGGAAACCGTCCCGACTCCAAGCAGCCATTATATAGCTCAAGGAGCCGGTCCCCCAGGGCACCGAGGGCCAAGGCCAATACCCGGCCGTGGACTCCGTCCGGGCCGGGGGCCGTGTCTTTCGCATTCATCTTGACAACCGCCACCCGGAGCTCTGCCTCGGTAAAGATACGTATTCCCTAAGGAATATTGGTAATGTAGTAACATCGCATCGCTTGATACACTGTGCGTCGTATCGTTTAAGTCACGACGGCTTAAATCGTTTTTTTTTAAATTGTTTAAAAAAACTATAATAACAAAATACGCCTTTTTAACATTAAAACCATTTTTTCTTACACTATTTTTAATTAAAATTTATTAAAATTTATTATCTATTTTTTAGTTGGATTTTCTATAAAAGCGTATTTTGTTAGTTTTTTAAACTGTTCTTTATTTTTCATTTTTTAGTTGATTTCAATTTTTTCAATTTTTTTTAATATTGATTTGTCATCGGTCCTTAATAAGTATATCAAATTTCGAGTTAATCCGACGTTTTGAAGGGGTTCAAAATCATGTTCAAAGATTCCGTTACAAACATACATACGTCTGAAGTTAATAAAAGCGTATTAAAAATAAACTGAATCATGATTATCAAAAACATTTGCGTGTCTAATTTCAAAAATACTAGCGGAATGGCAAATCAATGTTAGTTCAATACTTTAATAATAAATAATTTAACAAACAGTAATTGAGTATTTAGGTCCACAACAGCCGCAGAGTTTGGAGGCAGAGATGCGGATAAGACATGCCTTTTATTCCGTTCAACCGTAGCGGGGTCACAGAACTAGTACAAACATAATTTTCTTGTTGCGTCGCGAATTTATTTATTTTTATTGATTATATTGTTAAATTGCGAGTGTTTGACTGGCCGATTTTCAACTTGTGTGAGTCAGAAGCGTGGGAGCCACTTCTTATCCTTGCGTCCAATGTTATATTGCTATTCTTATAATGAAACGGTAGATTTGTGGTTTTCGTGTTAGTAAACTTATTAACAACTTGAATTTCCATTTATAATAACATAATGGATAAATATATATTAATTACTCTTCGATATTACAACAAAAAAATGTTACGACACAAAATATGTTTCATAGTTCTCGAAACATTTTTTAAACTAAATGAAGTTTCTAAAAAAGCAAATCCTTTAAAAAATATAGTGTTTAAATAAGGTAAAGAAAATAGGCCACGAATTTTTTTACATAACTTTTTTTAACTCTCGTACGAGTATAAGCTTCTGTATAAACTATTCTAAATTATTTTTCATAATAATCTTAACAATGTTGTTTTAGCTTCAGAAACATTTGATGATTTTGTTTTTTTTTAAACTTAAAATTCCCTGTAAAATTAGCTTTTCAAAGCAGACTCACCTCAATAAAAGCATCATTTTGCTGAAAACACTTCTACTGCACTGAAATAATAATTCAACACTGCACAATAAATTTAAGTTAGATTTATGTAAATACAAAACTACACGATGCTTCGTGCGTGTTCGATAAACTTTGGTTGACGGAGAACGCGCGCGTCCCTCTCAACAACCGCCGGTGAAGTGGTTGTTCGGAGGCCAGTACTGAACACTTCATGCGAAGAAAGGTTAATAACGACCACTCTAACGCCTTTACAAAACGTCGAAGTGAAAATTGTAATGGTAAAAGCATTTTTTTTCTAACAAATTCAAAGTAATTTAAATTTTGTACAATACTTGATAGTACACTATCTCATTAGAGTCAATGTGACGAGTACTTAATCGAATATTTTAAAACTTTCTGAAAGCTTTCAATTTCAGTTTTTGTTTTCAGTTTTATTGTGCTCCTATTATGTTGATATGTGTCAAATAAATAGAAAATACATATGTTGTTTAATTTTATATAACGGTGAGCAGGATTGCGTGTCTGCATCCCTAAGGTTCACTCACAGTCCTGCCTATTTGTGCCGAGAATCAATCAAGCGTACCGGCTTAGACGTTTTATAATACAACTGAGGTTTCAAGAGATTTGAGATACTTTGAGTCTACGCTAACCATCTATAAGACAGGTCGTAAGTCACTTTAAGAACACCCTTCAATATCAAGCAGAACTAATTATTAATATGATTTGTTTATCCTGGTGATTCTGCTCAGGTTGCTGCTGTCATTGGGAAATTTGTGTCCTTAAGTCACCACGCTGGGCATGCGGGTTGGCGACTAGAAAGTTTAACGTCGTACTCAAGCCAGGTACAAGAAGCGTGGCGCGTCCTCCAAACAGGTGGACCGACGACTTAGTACGCACGGCGAGAAGTCGTTGAGTGCGGAAGGCGGAGGACCGCATTCTGTGGAAGGCATTGGGGAAGGCCTATGTCCAGCAGTGGGCAGATAAAGGCTGATGATGATGATGATGATGATGATGAATAAGTTACAAATATAGTTACAAATAAAGTTCAAGCTAATAAAAGCTAAAACCAGTGGTCAATAGGTAGTTGTTAGTCATTCGTTCTGTTAATTGCTTAAAATTGACAATATAATATAGTCAGACAATATGAAAGACACTGGTTAAATGTCAAAATGATGAGAAACGATTTCTCGAAAAAACTAGTAAAACAGACGCCTCAGCCTGCGTAACCCAGCGGGTTGGGTAGAGGTAAACCATAAAATATCATAATTTTTTTTAAGTACCAAGTTTTATATAGCGTTCATATTTACAATCTATCAACATAATTAAATGTATTTATAATGTGATAATTATGATATGAGCTGAAAGGTTTGACATATTTTTTTTGTCTTAATCGTAACAAATTTCTTACATCAGTCGTGTTCTCGAACTTTAAATATTAGACCCCCACCGAGGGAAATAACTAGTTATGTAACTGACGAACAATGTCGATCCTTTTATTTTAATGTTTTGCTTCAATGCGCTGCAAATGACAATTCAATTTATTAGGAACTAATTGGATTTAATTGGATTCGGCTTAAGCCACTTGAGTTTCATTAATTTATTAACAATAATACTTAGTAATTTGAGATAAAGAGAAAAGGCAACTTCGTATATAATGCAATACTTTCATTTATTTCCTCAAATGATTTTCATAATAATTTAATAAATTGATTTAATTACATTTTGATTTTAGCAAGGCCCACAAAAATAATAATTTCAATAAAATAATTAAAATGTACTTTAACAAGTGCTTAATTTAATATGAACTTGATATGTTTTCGCACTTTTTTTTTCACAAACCTTAAACGTTCGAAATTCTGATGTCTAATTCAGCTGGCGTAAAAGTAAATGAATTATAATTGAAATAGAATACCTAAACATAAAATTTGCATTCTGAAGAAATAAATTCAAAAACGCTTTCATTGTGAACAACGACACGTAACGGAACATTAGACCCCGAATCTTGCCCAAATATCTGTATAGCATGCCACAATTCATATAGTTCCGCTTGTTAGAATGAAGTGTTGTATTAATTTTCATCACAATATTCCGATCAGTCTCTCCATTCGAATAATCAGATTGAAACCAACGAGAAGTGACGTAAAAGTCACAACTGCTATTGTTACCTTCATGGCTCTGAAAAAATACCTCTATTATAATAGAAAATTAGAGTTATGACGTATTGTGAGCTCACAGAAGTAGTTTGCGACATGCTTTTTATTTGTGCCAAGAAGTCATGGATTCCGGTGCGAGGATCGGGATACCCATTAACACAATTCAGATTACGAGGTCAGCTCTCAAAGTCAAGGCCAATTTTCACGTTGCAGTGTGTTCGAATTCCGGTAGTCACTTAGAACCAGATAGGCCATGAGGTCGCCTAGCCATAACAAGTAAAATTACAAAAAAAAACTGTATTTCAATTACAATAAAGTTCAAATTTTTTTGAGGATTTATGTGAACACTGGTGGTAGGACCTCTTGTGAGTCCGTGCGGGTAGGTACCACTACCCTGCCTATTTCTGCCATGAAGCAGTAATGCGTTTCGGTTTGAAGGGTGGGGCAGCCGTTGTAACTGTATTGAGATCTTAGAACTTATATCTCAAGGTGGGTGGCGCATTTACGTTGTAGATGTCTATGGGCTCCAGTAACCACTTAACACCAATAAAAAAAAAAGACAAACTCTCGAACCACCTTAAGGCATAAATTAGAAGCCTATTTCTCATTAGTATTACGGTTGTCGTATTGTAAAAACCGAAAATCTTCGGTATAACTACTTCGTACAAATATGAACGACAAATTGTTATAGATATTTCAAACTATACCTGAATAAATACTTGTCGATTATGTATAAAACAATGAAACACAAGAATATTGTAAATTTACATGGTCTTTCGAAAATACCCGGCATTGTAAAGGAGTAAAACTTTAATTAAAAATTGAGCAAACTTTTTTTTTTTGTTTATTTGGGTGGACGAGCACACAGCCCACCTGGTGTTAAGTGGTAACTGGAGCCCATATATATCTACATCGTAAATGCGCCACCCACCTTGAGATATAAGTTCTACGGTCTCAGTATGGTTACAACGGCTGCCTAACCCTTCAAACCGAAAAGCATTACTGCTTCGCGGCGGAAATAGGCAAGGTGGTGGTACCTACCCGTGTGGACTCACAAGAGGTCCTACCACCAGTAAGATTAGACTGGACTTAACAGGAGCTTTTGTAGTGTCGTATAAATTGAAAATCTTTACCCATCAGCGTTATGGAAATACAGTGCGCTTCTCAAAGTATAGTATATTAATTGCATATAGCAATAGATAACATAGTAAAACGCGAGAGCCGTCGCCGTTACAGATAACTGCAAAATTTGTACCAGCTCTGTCATTAATTGCCAAGACCTGTGCATCGCCGGCTGAAAACAACAAATATAATAGTCAAGGCCACGAGATTATTACTAGCCTTCCACTAATCTAAGAAACTATCTATATCTCAATACTCTAACACTAATATGAGAATCTATCTGTTGAAAACATCACTCAATGAAACATCACTAAAGTGCCGATTTGATGTTGAAAAATTAGTAAAATGAGAATGAAATAAAAAATGTTTTTGAATCACAGTTCTCTAGATATATTATGTAACTACAGAAAACCCTATGGATATACGATAATTTAATATTTTAAATATTTAAGAGAAGAAGAAGTTAAATAAACGCTAAATTGGTCTTAGTTGTCTTAGTAGGCATTATGAGTATCAAGAAACCAAAATATGAAAAAAACTTTCTGAGTAAAACAAAATTATCAATTTTTTTTTACTGAATATCTAAAGCTTAAATACATTACCCGCGTTTTAAGTGCAATACTTTAACCTAGAGAGATAAAAATCTCAATAAAATAATTATGTTAATATAAACATTAACATCTTCATAACGTGCCAGTACCACATTCGTGTACGTTAAGGATTTATTTTAACAAAGTAATCATAAACTAAATATAATTAATTACAGTTTCCTTCCTACACGAATTCATCCTTTGATTGAGTGAATCTTCTTCCGAATTCATTAAAGTGAATAACACGGCAAGGTGAAAACATTCTAATATATAAACAATTTAGGCACAAATATAGACGATGCTAAATACTTTAATTTTCTTGATTTAGAAAGAGTCAATTAATCTCATCAAATCGACTTAGTATAAAAATTATCATCCAAAAAAGCCCACATAAATTCTTAAAACATACACGGTCAATTTAGCAATAATCAAATTAACATTATTTCTTAAACAGTGCCCTTGTCAAAGCTATTGGATGTACCTATAAGTATAAAGAACAAACATTAATTACATTTTTTTCCTACCTATCCTGATAGCCTTGAGAGGCTATATCAGCGTTACCCTAGCGTGTAGGTGAGCTCTCGGAGCTCAAACCGTAGGTGTTGCTAACACTGGCCCAAGCAAGAGCAATGCTTCGCAGAATCTACCACCGGACGGGAAACGTGACCCACTGAAAAGATCCGGAAACTAACTCAGTGGGCATTAATTACCACGATATAGTTGGTCAATGAATTGAAGCATACATTTTCAAGTCACTTTGCCGATATCCGACATTTTGAAATATTATTTTCAGTATTCCAGTATTATTTGCTGAAGCGTACATGTTAAATGCGTAAAAGTTATTTAGATATACGAGTAAATAGGCAAAGACAAAGCCATTCACTACGTTTTTTTTTTCCTATTTGTTCACAGTTTCTATTTTTTTAATTAAATTCATATTGACAGCACTGTGCTTATCAATTAAAAGATTTTGGAATAATTAATTTTCCCACCTTACAAGAAAAAATATCATCGACAAAACATAATACATTTATAAAATAAATCTAAATCTTGAGGTGTCACTGATTATGGCCTAATCGAAAACTAGTATTTATAAAGTACTCGCAGACCCGGCCACATGTTGTTGTGGCTAAGGTTTTTGTTTCTAAATAACACGTGGCCGGCTATGCTAACACCAAAAATTTACAAAGTAAGAACAATTGATTTCACTGTATTGCGTTTACTACGAAATAAATTTCACTTATACTAGCCTCAGCAACACGTGGTGTTTATGCCATTAAATTGTAGCTTTTGTGAAACGTTGGTTTTTTTAACACAGCGCATCCAATGTCGGACATCCATCCACCGCGGACAAACAACATGACACGTAATTTAATATTAAGACTTCACGATAATTAGCACAAACTTCAAATTTCGATGGAATTAATTTTATTTTTTTTAAAGCCCCGAAAACTGTTACCTCTTTAAAAAGTCGAAACTTATAAAACGCATTTATTAAAAGTGAGATTTAACGACCAAAGACAATCTAAATGTGTCTGTCGTCTCCTGGACTCCGAAGAAAATATGAGATTATTATGTCATAAAAATAACATTAATTCCAGTCTGGGAACAGTTCGGTCTCCAGTCGGGTCCAACGTCACGATCCTAACTATGATCGTATCTAGATTCACGAGCTGCCATTACCGCACCGTTTAACTCCTACGCTGGGACGAAGCCGGCGAATCGGCACGTTTATGTATTGTTATCGCAACATCCAAGGCAATATGATAATCATGGAACGCCTCATAAAAATTCTAAAGGAGGAAATGGATGAAAGGACTTCGGTCGTAAAATAGTCCTTTAATGTAATATAACCGTTGCAGAATCGGAGTAAGCAAGTTCATCTTAAATCACAAATTATACGCGCTTACACCGAAAATACTTTAGTTAGCGATACAGGACTTTGTTAAGGTCATGAACGATAGTTGTGTCTGACACAAACGTCTGTCTACAACACTGAAGTATGAAACCTAGGTCTATGGTCTACAAGCGCAAAAAACAGTATCGCAATTTGGAGGTGTTTCCCGAGCGCTATAACATGTCCTTCTTTAAAAGAGGGGTGTGGAGAGTACTAAGCGGTAGGCAGTGGCTTGGCTCTAGCGTTGCTGAAGTCCATGGACGATGGTAACCACTGACCATCAGGTGGGCCGTATGCTCGTCTGCCTACAAGGGCAATATAAAAATATAAAAAAATATATTGAAAAAAATATTAAGAACAAATTCTGGGGTAAAATCTTTTAAAATAAAAAAAAAAATGCGTGTACTAAATTCGAACGGTAGCACAAATACTCTCGCAAAGGCATTTTGAAACAAAACCTTATCAATGTGGCGCCGGGGTACAAGCTATAAACTCACCTGGAGTAGATAAAGTACAAAGCAATTTCATGTTTCGACCACTTGCCTAATGTTGACGAGTCGAGCAATTCGCCAAAAAAAATTAATCTACATTCGGGATATTCACTAGCTTGGCCCGAACTAACTGAATGTTACGTACCACAAACCGATTTAGGTATAGTTTGTAAGCATCGAACGAATTACATTTATATATATTTTGAGGAACAATATCTCTGAGTACAGCCCTAACAGTTCTCTAATAATATGCTAAATAATACACGATAATACTTTTAAATTATCCATCTATTAGATGAAATAACTTACTTTCTTCTCTGGTGTATCCATGTCCATATCAGGTTTTATTGGCAACGGGCTTGCACGCTGCAAGGGCGGATGTGTTTGCGTACAATAAGCGGAAATACATGTGTTTTCGAACTGAAAATTTACTTTATTTTGTTTTATTGTTTTTTTTTTTGCAATCTCAAAGAAATCTACAAAAATTAAATTTAACTATGTACCTACGCATTAGTTAAAATTTCTTGATGGTAACAAAATAAATAAATGATATTATCGAATCAATCTAGTACGCACGCTAACTGTTGAGAATTAGCTATGAGAAAAATACTATATAAAGCCTTATTTTAGCAACTAAAGCGTACACCTATAATAGTAATTAACCGAAAATAAATCATTATGGAGTGCAGATGAGGAATGTAAAAGTGTACTCAGATTATTTTTTTATCCCTACTTAATCAGCTACAATTGGACAAGACTAAAATTTCGCATGGGCGAAGTTAATGTTTATTACGACTTTCTGTGTTAAATAGCTCAGAATTTCACTGTTTGCTCCGCATTTTATGAATCTATCATTGCGTACTTAAGTATGGTTGGAAACTTTAAATTCATGAGTATTAGAGTTGAAGCTTTAACTGAGTTATTTCTGGACTGCTTGTTATTCCTAAAACGCTTCAGTACCAACTCATAATACAAGGGCTTGATAGGAAAGATGCGCAACCGTGTTGAAGACGGTTCGTCCGCCGACTGCCTCAAATGCAAGTTAAAATAAGATAATAAGAAGTAAGTTACAACTGGGTTTTTTTTCGATAGAATAGTACCAGTTAGAGCCAAAACAGCTAAAACGCATTTTAATTCAAAACATCTATATTTAGAAATTAGTAATAAAAGAAAATCTGAAGGTATCAGCTGATTTCGTCTAGTCTTTTTCCCACACAATTAAACCTGCTGTTATTAATATACTTTACTACTATATACCAAAGATCTACGAGACATTTACGCAAAGACCACATCGCAACGGGGACGACTCCTTCATTGACTTACCAAAACTATGACAATAATGATCGCTTGTAATTGTGATAATAGTCAAACTTCAGGTGTTGGGGTACTAAATTAAAACAGGAATGTATGGAAAACACAAATAAAGGATCAATTTATAAGTAGGAACAAAAATAATAGCATTTACCCCAGTATTTTGGGTTACAACAGGCGTAGGAGGAGGCGGTGCAGGAAACGAATTTAATATTAACTTCAACTTTTCACTTGTCCTCAAACATCCGCACTGTCTTCTCCAATCACAGAGACCTTCAGCCTTTTCAGAATCTTTGGCAGATTCGCTAATTTTTCCGGCAAGGTCTTTGGTCAGCTGAGCATGCATAGTTTGATATTTCTTATATTCGGTATAGAGATGCGAAGTTCCCTCACCAAGCGAAGTGTTCGAATCAGTTTTATCAACCACTTGTAAAAAAAATCGTTAAAAGAATACCTACGAATAAATAATCTTTAAACATTATAATCTGATTTGAAGTTGCTTTACAATATTAATATATCTGGATATTCAAATTATTGAATCGTCTGAAAGATAAGGACTCCGGTCGATATTTTAACTTATTTGTATGTGATACGGCCTTATTTATGAAGTAATTTCTAGTTCTTGAATCGTGGTATGCAGTTGTAAATACTCACTTCCAAATTTAACGTCCGTAACTTCACACTCGTAAAATTTATAATTAAAACTGACTAGATATATCGAAACTCTAACTAACCACTTTTCACAATAATTTAGCAGATATAATTTACTGATAAATTATATTATTATCTAATAATACATGTAATAAAATATAAGTTCACTGAGGAATAATAAAAATGACATTTTCACAATGACAATTCCCGCCAAATAGAATAAAAGCATATTATGTAATTAAAACTACTTTTATGTTTTAATCTCGCGTTTTTATTGTCATTATAAATGTAATTTTCAAAGTGTCGAGTACTTTACAGTTCTCGTCGTCACGGACGATTAAGTTGTAAATCGTCGACATTCAAATATTGTGCTGAATAAAATTAAATTATATAGGATAAAAATTAAGATGAAATGATAAGCCTAAGCTAAGCTAGCTGCTAGCCAAAACTGAAACAATAAAATATTTATCACATCCACGAAGAATCTTAGATTCGGTAGGTAAAATTTATTTCCGTAAATAGTTCGTGACTTCAAACTCAGATAATATAGCATTATTGTATTGTATTCCTTCTTACTGTTATTTCTATCATATCTATTTGCGGTTTACGAATTATCCGACCCGCTCTAGATTAAGACACATTCATAGCCAAATGACAAAGTATTTAGGACAAAGAAAATGCCTACTTGTTGTCCAAAACCGCGCGCTTCAATACCAGTAATTACTTTCGGCTTTATTGTTATCGCATTATGATGGATTTAATAGTATTTTAAGTGCCGATAAACGGTTAACTTGTGACATTCTAACCAACTTCCGAGTAAATTCTAAAATATTAGATTTGAGACTACGCAAAGAAATAAACCGTGTCGGCGCTATAACGTAGGTTCATATTTGTTAACTTCACTTATATTTATTTCATAAGAAAAAAGTTAAAAGGCTTTGTTCTGGCGCAACGGTATATTTTATTTTAAACGAAGTTTTTCTGAAAGCAACAAAATTTATCACACAAGCACATTAATTTAATAATATGTACCCGGTAACCGTACTCGTCGAACTCGACAAAGAGGTCGTCGTGCAACCTAATCCATGCATCAGCCCGCTGAGTTTCTCGCCGGATCTTCTCAGCCGGTCGCGATTCCGACCCGTTAGTAGATTCGTTCGCGAAGCTAATGCTCCTGAGCTGTTAGGTCTCCTTCGGAGGCGCTCGGGCAGTTGTTAGCAAATCCCACCCCTCCTGGCTGAGCCTTTGCTCGCCCAACTGTCCTGGTGAAACTGGAAAAGCCTTCGGGCCACCAGTAATCCTTCAATCATAAAAAAAATTAAAAAAAAATAATAATATGTAAATGTGGATTTGCTCTTGTCGACTGTAAAAAGTACGATGCATAGATTACACATATTAGGCAGTTTGTATTAAAAAATATTTTGCAGATAATCATCATATATCAACTTAATTACTGTACTGACATATAATTTCTGGATAGAATATTAAGTCATATCAAAAAAGTGCTTTAACAGTTAGTGCTAAGACACGCAAGTAATGTAGTCAAAATATTTTAGTACAGTGTGCTTAGTGAGTCTTTTAACGCTCTCGATAGCGTAAAAGTTAACTCATATTTGTATGGAGTTGAAACGTTTGTCTACGTTTGCCGCTAGGGGCGCTGTTCCAACTGCATACAAATTTAAGATAACTTTTACGCGATCGAGAAAGTTAAAAAACTCGGACTAAGCACACAGAACGATACCCCCGCGTCTAATACGGAACCGACCCAGAAATGTATATGTAATACACCTATAAACGTTAAAAGAAAGGCGAATTTGTCACGACACATAACAATCGGAATGTTTTATTTTTTGTATTCGTGCAAAATTCATGAATATTATCCTCGGTACATTTAACGTTCGTTACAAGCGCCCATTACATCATCGTCGTTACGTGCTCTTAGAATCAATCTCTTCATGCAACATTAAATAACTCAATGCAGCAGCGGCTGATTAACGGTCTGCTACCGTTGTAATATTTCGTTTGACCTAAACACACCGGTACAGTTAGATTTGCATGAAAACTAATTATATTACTAAAAACGTTGGTTTTTCCGTATCGGTGTTTTAATCAATGCAAAAAGTACATTTTCTACTTTATTAATTTAGAATTTTCTAGAACAAATTCTTTTATCAGTATTTAAGCACGTCATTACGGATCCTCCCGATCCATTAACGGTGCTTTTCGGTACCACAAGCACCGGTCACCGTCCTCGTCGTACCCGTCGATTGCGACGAAGGGCTCTACGAGCGAATTAACCCATAGACACAGCCCACTGAGTTTCTCGCCGGATTTTCTCAGTGGGTCGCGTTTCTGATCCGGTGGTATATTCTGCGAAGCACTGCTCTTGCTAGGGTCAGTGTTAGCATCACTCCGGTTTGAGCCCCGTGAGCTCACCTACTAGTTAAGGTTACGCTGAAATAGCCTCTCAAGGCTATCAGATTAGGTAGGAAAAAAAACCAAAAAGTATTTAAGCTAATGAAATAATAATTACTTTATTAATCCTGTTGTCTTAACGGAAGAGTTCAGAGTATCTAAAATGATAATAATCTAAATAACAATAATTAATCAAAGACCCCATGTTTTAAGATGAATCGATCTCATGCTGAGCAAAACCTTTCTATGACAGTCATAGCAGATCTTTACTCTTACCATATTCTGTAACTTGAATCTACGCTAATTCTTATTCTGTTTCTTTCGAACCTGAAGCAAACCCAAGAAGGTAAACAGCCTGACGTACCTATCATTTAGCAATCGATTGGAATTACCCAGATCTCGTCAAAGGTCATCCGTCCGGTGAACCCACCAGGTCAACTCGGCTGTAAGCGGACCCTCACAAGATTATACCAGAATGGCCTCGAGTTTTCGGCCAGATTAACCTGATGATTGACGTAACAATCATCCGGCGATCAACATTTGCACCTGATAGCACTAACAGTTACTGACGAAACTCTTCAATCTCGGACAAGAACAAGACTAAATAACTATATCCATGTATTAACATCTCATTACAATTTTCAAAGATTCATAGTTCAAATCGTCGTTTTTCTTCCAATTCTAGTATGAATTCGAAGTCAAAACATAATCAATTATCCTAATAATCAATTGTAATAAATATTAAATTAAAATTGTTTCAAATATTTATAGCTCATTCCAAAGTAAATTCTATAAATAATGAATTATTTATTATATACTATGTTTTCGATTACGTCAATGGATTTTATAAAGCTATTTTAGACATTAACAAGGTTCCCCTTTCTTGTTGATGTCTGATGCATCTGCTGTTTTATACGAATTATCGATCGACTACTTCGGTTCACTTGACGCACACCGTAAAATTTTTAGTTTTCGCTGGCAGATGCAACATTTAAAGCCAACTTCTTTTCTATACTCTTTATAATAAACTATTGTTCTGTTCTGAAACGACTGTTTGTAGATTAAAAATAGCTGAAGTTCAATGTGAAAGTTACGTTTGATTCGGTCGTTAACGCGTCAAAGCACTAAAATTTACATACTAGCGAATATTTTTATCACCAATGCTATGAAACTAAATTAAAACTTCCCCGAAGACACTACCTATATTTATGTTCGGTCTTATAAAAATACGTTAATCCCGCAACTGGGTCGCTCTTACATAAAAAAAAAATTGTACGCGTGTAAGATAAAAATAACACAATTAAGAATGTTAATCATTCAAGGTGAAATTTCATGTTTTGAAGACACCGTGAACAATGGTCTGTACAAGGCCACGCGCACAATGGACTTGGTAGTTGATTTTGGAAATGCGAAGGTCAGCACTGTCGTTCCGATCCATGATAAGCCCTTCCTCCTTGTTAGCTGCGATAANAAAAAAAAATTGTACGCGTGTAAGATAAAAATAACACAATTAAGAATGTTAATCATTCAAGGTGAAATTTCATGTTTTGAAGACACCGTGAACAATGGTCTGTACAAGGCCACGCGCACAATGGACTTGGTAGTTGATTTTGGAAATGCGAAGGTCAGCACTGTCGTTCCGATCCATGATAAGCCCTTCCTCCTTGTTAGCTGCGATAAGCTATTTCACGCGGGGTGAGCACGCTCTTACAGGCGATGCTTGTCGAACAAAACTAAATTAATGTTGTTAATCGTTCGGTCTCATGAAGTTGAAATGTTATAATCAATTTCTAACTAGGAAAGGCACACGTTTTTTTTCTAAATCGAAACGACAAGTATTACTGTGATATATGGTCAAATAATAAAAAAGATAAATTTTATTTCTAAAAACATTTTCGAACATGCGAGAGACATGGCTCACAAGTTTTATAATGTAATTTTACCTAACAATCGTTGTCTCAGTGAGGCAACGAATACCTTGCCATGCCATTGTTACAAGCATCAAGCTTAGTGTTTAATGATTATTAAATATATTCATGTACTTTATTAGATGAAAATTCAAATGGAAATTAAATTAAATTTATTTTTCTGAAACTGTAAGCAATTGGGATGAAATGGAATGAAACAAGATCAGATTGAATGAAAAATGTCCAAGTAAAATGTTTGAAGTTTACAGAGACTTCAGTGAACTTGGAAGAATCCAAGGAGCTGGATCGACTTCATTTCATTTTCCTGCATCTATATACTCAAATAACTCTAAGCAATTAGTAAGCCATTACTCATTTAAATTAAAAAATGCACTAAATTAACAAAATGAAAAAATTCAAGCGACTACCACGTCCGCCAAAAAGTCCTATTTGATATACATATTCAGCCTAGTACCTTTTTTTATTGCTTAGATGGGTGGACGAGCTCAGAGCCCACCTGGTGTTAAGTGGTTACTGGAGCCCATAGACATCTACAACGTAAATGCGCCACCCACCTTGAGATATAAGTTCTAAGGTCTCAAGTATAGTTACAACGACTGCTCCACCCTTCAAACCGAAACGCATTACTGCTTCACGGCAGAAATAGACAGGGTCTGGTATCTACCTGTGCGGACTCACAAGAGGTCCTGCCACCAATACCTATGTACTAGTAGTCCACTCTAAAGTAATCTAGACAATCAAGCATAGCCGAAGACATAAAGAATATTAAAACAGGTTTAACGGTTGAAAATATATTATGAAATAGAATTAATTTAACACCAGCACACTATATTGGCAACTTGTTTTCTAGCTGGTAAAAATCTAACTGGAATTTTTGATTAAGAATATTCAGTTTCTTTTTTTAATTTGAATTTGGTTCAAAATGTACTACTTCATACTGTAAAAAAAAATACAAAAATGTATGCTGGATCATTTTATATAATAAAACATAATACATTATAATATAATAATAATATGTCGATGGTATTAAGAAAACGGAGAGTAAAAAAACATTTTATCGTCACAAATATTTAATAAATTACAATTACATCAAAATATTGCTCAAGCTACATAAGTGGCCGGTTTTATTTGTTTACCAAAAAGCGCTTACGAATAATTGATTTTGTGAATTTCGATATTTAATCTTACATGTTTTTATATAGATATTTAACATATTTCCGATAAATAAGAAAGCACACAAGTCACTTTTGAATGCTTCAAATATAACCTACATTCTTAAATGGTTCACAAAGCACATTTGGATTTATTTTTTGGAAAAAATCTCTTATATATTAAGTACAACGAACTTTCACATTTTACAAATATATTTTTTGTTATAATTTTTCATACAATTAATGAGAAAAAATTAAATAAAAATGCATTTCAGTCTATATTACAAAATAATTATCGTCCGCTACGACATTAAATTAATAGCACAGCTAAAGAAACTGCCGATTTTGAGCAGATGCAGACGACATTGAAGTAACACACATTTAACTTACAAACAAACAAACAAAACTTTGTTGCTACACATGTACTGGTAAATAATATTTTCGATATTCCGATATCATCACATAATTTAACAAAACCATTGTTCAAAACATTTATAATTCCATTACAATAAACATACAATCAATTTAAAGTAAAACAAAAAGAAGCTAATCTAAAAAAATAATCAATATATGAGTCGACTATTATCAAAGCCGGCAATGTGACTTTTGGACAATTATTGGTAAATCAGAAAAACGAATTATTGACTTTGTATTCCATTGGCAGTCACAAAACTCTTCGGAACGACATCTTAGATAAATAACAGGTTAACTATTAACCTTTATTTAATACAGTTTTTGAACCGTATTCTTTGAAGGAGACGANAAAAAAAAAATCAATATATGAGTCGACTATTATCAAAGCCGGCAATGTGACTTTTGGACAATTATTGGTAAATCAGAAAAACGAATTATTGACTTTGTATTCCATTGGCAGTCACAAAACTCTTCGGAACGACATCTTAGATAAATAACAGGTTAACTATTAACCTTTATTTAATACAGTTTTTGAACCGTATTCTTTGAAGGAGACGATTATATTCAAATCAATCTGTATTGACATAATAATATCAATAACATTTTTTTGTCCAAATGCACAGATTGCCACCTTTGATAATAGACGACTCATATATCGTTTTTTGAGTATAATTTCATCAAAACAAAACTCCACTTATACACAGTGAAGCTTAGTTAATATATTCACAATAATCACAACACAACTACAAAATCATAAAAGACTTATTCTAAAATTACAGAGTATAAAAATGTTGCCATAAAATAAATGCGTCTATGTTTTAAACAATCGAAGATAATGCCATCAATTGTTAATGTGGTTAAATTAAGAAAATTATATTTTGTAATGAAAGTAAAATAATGAAAGTTTTATGATTGATATAACTTGTATCTTTATACATAAAAAAGTTTTATAATAAAAAAACTGTTTTAAAGTCAGACTTTTATTCTGCGACGTATAGAGTCCGAAACACAATTCTCATCATTTAAGACGCTAAGCAGTAATGCGTTTTTAAAGGATCCAGCGGTTATACACTAAAATTGAAACTTCGATTTCATATCTGAAAATGGGCGCACACGATTTGATTGATGTCTAATATAAAAACTAGTGATTACTTAAAACCAGGTGAGCCCGTTTTTGAGCACTTAAAACAACATCGTAATTGTAAAACAGGCTCTTAATAAACAAATTGGAATAATATCTTATTCAGCTAGCTATAAACGCTACAAATACATCAAAAATATTCCATTATATCAATCCCAGCAGTGTTTATCTAAATTTCAAAATTCAGATCTGAACAAATCCAAGATTACCGTAACCGTCTCATAAAGCATCGATCCTAGAATACTGACTACTCTAAACGAGCTTTTAAACACCAATTAAATACGCAAACAATTCTAATTAATCAATAGTACATTAAAATTAGTAAGCTACAAAATTTTGTGCTTTACAATTTCTGCGTTACAATATTTACTATACGTCAAATACATATTATATATCTATCAATCTAAACCTGAACTGAAATCGTACTTAAATCTAACAATAGCACACACGGTTGGATAAATACTTATAAATTAAACCACAGCAAAGACTAGTATCAATAAATCCATTTTAAAATATCATTTGCAAACATTCACGTTTAGGAACTAGTATCGGAAATAATTTGCTCTCGATTTTATTATGAAATCGGGATCCGAGGTGGTCGATCGTGGGGCACGTGTGTGTCACAGCAACTGATAAATGGAATGCGTTGTAATGGCCACTCCCACTTTCGCGATGGAGAAGCCAATTAAAAGTAGCCTAAATGTATCAAAACTGCCCCAAGCTATTGTATTTCCTGTTAAACATACCGAAATACAACATACAAGACAATAAGGGGAATCCCAATTAAAAGTAATGATGTCTCAAAGATCCCCTCCGCCTGAGAATCATACTACCAGTTGCCCTTCTAATCAGATAAGCGTGGAGCCGCCATATTATCGCATCTAACTACAGCAGAATTATACATCAGTCTCAGTTTTGCTACTTGTGCGCCGGCTCCTAGCGTCTGAAGCCGGATTCACCCAGTGAGGGCCGCTCAATAAAAATTTCTTCACGTTATACTCCATCCTCGCCAAATCTTCGGGTGAAATATCTTTATTGACTTCCTTTTTGAAACTGCGTTTAAGTTCTTTGGCGTATTCGTCAACGTTGGTTTTGTTTTTCGAATTGTCTTTACAAATTTCGGTGGTGGGACCCCCAATCTCAACTGGGAAGATTGTCTCTTTAACGATGTTGCTTACGATGACAGTGTTTGGCGATGCCGTCTTTTTTATTTTCTCATTGGTCGATAATTTGTTATGTACCATTGCTTTTTGAGATTCTTTGAGGAATGCTTTGGAATATTTGCTGACTGGATGTGGCATGTTCAACGCAAGTTCATTAAGAGTTTCCGTCAGTCTACTCAGATTGGTTTCCCGCTTTCCTGCGCGGTTGCTAGTAGCACCGTCCTCTTCCAAGGGATCATTGAAATTGTTATGTTGTTCTAGATTTTTCTCCACCCATTCCGCCACTCTCAATAACTGCTGCTTCTGAAGCAGGGCCGCGCTGTCGTCACTGGACAGCGAACTTGTACTGTGTTCGTTTGTAAAAGCCTTTCTTGTTTCATTCGCTTTCAAATGTGTTTGTGTTAAGTTCGGATACACATTGACTATCGGTGGAAGGGCTGCCTTCTTGGTTTCTGGTTTCTTTTCCACCTCAGAAGCATCACCTTGAGGTGGCAAATCTTTAGATATCTTCGTATTCTCTAGTGAATGAAGCTGAGACATGTCGATTTTTCGAAGCGATTTATTGAACTGATTCGATAACTTTTTCTGTTCGTATCGATCAAAATTGAATATTTTCACATCATGAGTGTCACTCGGAGTAATTTCGTCTGAATTTTTGTCTTTATCGTCAGTTTCATGAATATCGTTTTGCGTATTGTTCACATCAACATTGAAGTCATTGAGCAAGTTATTTATTTCCGCAATATTTTGCTGACTACTTTGGGATTGATTGTTATTGTTTTCCGAGGTGCTCGAAAAATTATGAGTTTTCATTGGCTGTAGTGGCGAAGATGATACGTTTAATAAAATAGGATTAATTGTTGTATTTTTCGTGATAATATTTTCTTTGTTATTGTTATCAACATGAACATCAATGAGTGTGCTCTCCACAACTAGGTTGTCGATTTTTTGATTTTCCTTGCCATTGTTTTTGTTTAAATCTATAAAGTTATCTGCATCATCATGAAGGTCTTTAAACAAAGAGTTTTCATTGCATTTGCTTTGACGCGTGTAAAGTATGGGGGGAACATCCGGTTCTACATTATCCAGAAGAATATTTTTCGATCCTGCCTGCATCCGCAAATGGCAGAACCTGGGACCTGGTCCTACTTGAGTGTTCAATTTTTGCGCACTCACTGTGGATTTAGCAATCGAAGAAGTTCTACTGATAGCACCCATTGAACTGTGCGAGTTCTTTCGGATATTGGCATTATCTAAGGATTTATTCTCAGTTTTCGAAGGGATCTCTATATTAAGTGGAATGTTATCTTTGATAACAAGCAAATCTTCATGACCTGCGCTATGAATGCTGCTTTTCTTACTGGATATCGATTTTGTGCGATCACAAAGTTTGTGGTGCACTGCAGGCTCTATGTGCATTTCGTTGTTATTTTTTATAACTTTCACATCATCAACACAGATTGACACTTCTTTTTGAGCAATTACTTCAGTCATACTAGTCACACTTTTACCATCTATTTTAAATTTGTCACTATCAACACTGTTACCTCTGGTTTCTTCAATAATGACTGCATCATTATGTGTATACAAGTCTGGATTCTGAGGTAGTACATATAAAGGAACATTTAAGTTATGTTTTGTCGATTCTTCAGTAACAACTTTGTATGGAATAGACGAAGTACTTTTAATACTCAAGTTCGAATGTAAAGATTTCACATCTCCATTGCAATTCAAACAGGATTTAGTCATTTCACCGCTCAATACAGTCTGAGTGGAAACAGTGTAATGACTATCATTGTAACAAAATGGTTTATTCTTAGTTTTGTTACAAGTGCAGGTGTCACAATGTTTGGTGACAGTATCTTGAATGCTGTCTTCCAAAATTTTAGTCATCAATGATGCCGATATATTGAATTCATACTCACTAGCGTCAAACGTTTCGACTTCATTACCAGTTCTTGACTGCGTTGAGCTTGAAGGCTTTGATGTTTTGGACATTACATATTGTGAGACTCGGGCTTGAGTGTCAACGGGTAACTGCAAATGAAAATAATTTACAATGTCAAATATATCTATGAATAAATGTGATTGTCAACACATTTAATGCCATAAAAATAATTGATATTGTAAGTTTTAGAAACTTAAGACTATGTTAATTTCATTATTCTTCTTCTTTGTCGTTCTCTCATTACTGAGGTTCGCGACTGCACATATGCAAGTACTTCCATGAACGTTGTTCAATGCTGCCTCCAACCAATTGAATCAAAATACATCAGAAATATAACCAAATTAAAAAATAGATATATAACTCACATTATCCAATTTATGTGAAACAAAATTATCAGGTTTACACTGCAACAGCTGGATGGCTAGATTCATATCATTTTTATACCTTTCCTGAAAAAATAATAATTTGTACATGAGATAAAACAAAAGTCTTTGTAAAAGCTCATTTGTAATTTTCTCTTAAAATTACTAAACTTTATATAATTAGAACACATTACACTCTGAAGATTTACATACAAATCTTAAGCCCTGGTATGGTAGGCAACAGCTTGGCTCTACCTCTGGCATTGCTGATGTCCGTGAGCGACGGTAACCACTAACCATCAGGAGGAACTTGTGACACCTACAAGAGCATTTAAAAAAAATTGTGGGATTTGTTGTTAAATGTACATAATCATGACGTCACCATCATCAAAGTGCAAATCACTTGGGAGAGCTAGCAAGATATTCTAACTATGTAAAAACTATTAATTTTACAAGAATTTTGATATGGTTTTACAAATCAGTTTCTTTGAAAAAAAATCATACAATCAAATATAAAATCTCTATTTATTTAGAGCCCAATAGCCCTGCAATTTATCCAAATTATTTCTTTACTTGATTAAAAATGTAAAATACATCTCCATACATCTACATTGAACACTTTAGGGACAAAGTTCTACATCCATACACACAAACCAAATAGACCACTTTTACAGTAACAAACACATACGTACATTCTCCTTGTGAAGCATACTGTAATTATGCTTGGATTCAGCTAATCTCACAGATAAAGTAGCAATATCTTTTGTCAGCTGACTCTTTTCACTTTTCATTTTGTCTACCATCTGCAGAAGTTTATCCTCTAAGACTTGATTCAATTTTTGTACCCTTTTGTGCGAATCATACAATCTGTAGAAATATATTAATTGTATAATTAATTATTTAAATAGCATTCAGGTTCCAGATTTTATTCATTATGCAACATTGAAATATTGAAAAAATAAAATTTATTTATTTATATTCTTACTTATACTTGCTAAAGGTATGAAATTACCAGCTAGTTCAGAAGCAATATTTTCATTTAAGTAATTCCAAGTATATAAGCATTTAGAAAAATCCTTTTATAAATGTTTTATAAATTATTTTTAATAATTAATCCTTTTAAGTATTTAATCTTTAATTTATTCAAAAATTGAATATGCAATTTCGAAAAGGGCACATCTCTGAAAATGTAAAATGTTCAGGAAATGAAAAAAAAATTATTATTTTCTAAGGCAGTGTAAAATTTAAAATATTAACTTTTGAGATATATTTTAGTGTTAATTAGCAATTGAAAATTACTGGAATTATTATAAAATGGGTGTAGTTAAGCCTCAAAACTACATAAAAAAACGTATTTGACAAAATATGCGACATGTGCCCTTTTCAAAATTATTTTTAATACTATTTTTGTGTGCTCAAATACCTTTCATATTTTTCCCTCCAAGTATTGAGTTGTTCTTCAAAATTATTAGCTCTTGCTGTGCACTTGATGAATTCTCCCTCGAGTGCTACAATGTGTGCATCTCGTTCAGAAAGGTGTTGCCGCAGATGCTCCACTTCTGCATGAAGCTGCAGGCCCTCTCCATCATTGCACTCCTTATAATTATAGTGCAAAGTGAAATCATTTAACTATTGTGGTAAGTGCAAAGTTGATAAGTAAGAAAAGAAAATTGCAACATAATAAAGAGAAGCAGTGCACTTGTGTGATTTATGTTGCTATATTCCAAACTATAATCAATAGATATTTGAAAATTAAAATTCCAAAAGAATACAAAATATCTTATGTAACTATAGCTTCTGATAATGTTTTCCTATCGCTTTTTTTTTAAGAGTTGATGTAAAAAGGTTTATTTACTTGTCATGAAAAACTTAACTACACTATATTACTACAGTATTCTAAATCAAACATTACAGATATGAAAAATCTATTTGTGTATTATTTTTAAAAATATTTTATGCACTCTACTATGTATGCCATAAGTAGAAGGAATTAATTTAGGCCTACGATTGAAAAAGGTAAAGTAACAAAACATCGCTAAAATTTTACCTTACAAGGGGAGTTCTTAATACTCTCATCCATTGCTCAAAAACTTTTCTAATTCACTTTCACATTATGGCATATCCAATTTGTAGATTTTGTGGAACTGCGTCACACTCAAAGTGATTATAAGCTATTGTTATCAAAAAGCCACTGATTTAAAATGAAATAAAATCAATTTTGCTTAGCACACAACATAAAATATTTACTTTATCAAAACGTTTTGATGCTTTCCCGTGGATAATGAGTCACGGAACAAACTGTTAAACAAACAAACTGTGTGAACGGATGGAAAATACGGAAGGGAAATTGGATTTTCCCAAAAAACACCTTATAAAGATGAAAAATTGATGTGGCCGAATGACGTTTTCTTGAAGGAGTTACCAGAGTTATAAAGATAAACGATATCCAAAGTACTCTGTGAGTGTGACTTGTTCACTAGCTTACATACCTATTTGATTTGATGTTATCGAAACTGTGGTTCATGTCACGCATGCATGTTACACGAAAGGGATGCTCATTGCGACTTATGGAAGTGGGAGAGAAAGCTAGATATTCCGGCGTAGTATCCACTGTTCTACAAAAGATACAAGCGGATATGTAAAGCGTACGCTCAAATACGGCTCAATGAATTTGGCCCCCTTTTTTTTGAATTTCGGATTTTTTTTATTTTTAATTATTTTTTCGTCATTTGTTGATTAATATCATTTTAACACGAAAGTTGTACTCCTAAAATATTCTTAAAATAATTAGAAATCACTGAAATTTCTATGTGCTTGCTATTATTCAATATCATTAAAAATAACTGAATTTATTAAAACCGCGCTAATTGTACTTTAACGACTAATTGGCCGTCTTCACTGACATTTTTTTGTTAAAGTATTGTTGAAGTTTGTTGAAGTTTTCAATATTTTTTTGATCTACATAAGAAATAATTAGACAGTATAAACGCACTTGTTAACAAAGCGCTAGTAAATACGGCCATTGCCAGCTAACTGACAGAACCGGCGCATGCGCAATCAAATCAAATCAAATAAAAAATAATTAATTATAAATAAATAAAAGACGAACAAACTATTTTTACATTCGAACATTAACGAATAAACGACGAACAAATAATTAAAAATAAAAAAATCCGAAAATCAAAAAAGGGGCGCCAAATTCAGTGAGCCCTCAAATACGCTGCCTAATTGTATGAACACCGTATAATTAAATTATATTACGCTATTCTCATAAACATATTATATAATATTAATATACAGATGAACATATATTTCATTCTGTTATTTTTTTTTTTTTGCTTAGATGGGTGGACGAGCTCACAGCCCACCTGGTGTTAAGTGGTTACTGAAGCCCATGGACATCTACAACGTAAATGCGCCACCCACCCTGAGATATACTTTCTAAGATCTCAGTATAGTTTATTTGCGATATTTCAAATGCTTTATTTACACTTTTCTTGATTACGGATGACTCAGGTGCTATGTGTCGAAATTTCATAGACCTACTTAATGTGCAACCTATTTTCTTACATTCTCTATAAGAATCATTTTCGTTAATTACTTCCATTTCTATTATTTAGATATTAGTCCATATAATAAAAACAATACGATCTTGAGGTCTGGAATTTGGTTTAACTTCGAGTTTCATCTTCACGATAAGAAGGTCCCAGAAATTGAATAAGCCGAAGTCATCTTCTCTATTCAAGATAAAGAGTTGTTTTTAAACGTTTTCGCCTGTCGTACATCGTGGAATTAAATAAATTTATTTGTCGAGTAGGTACATGAATTTTGCGAAATCTTTAAAATAATTGTCATCAATAACCAGAGTACTTACCTGCCAAATCTGCAGAGTTCAGGACCCGACTATTCTTGTTATTTGCAATGATCAAAGCGCATTTTGTATTCCAGTGATCTCAAATTCAAATCAAGAACAATTTTTCAAAAACTTTATCTATGCATCGGGAAAGGCTACATACATATACATTACATTCTATTGCAAAATGAAAAATTTTGCGGAAAGGATTTGAATGTTCCATCTTAATCTCCACCAAAACTAATTCACGTATGATGTTTAATTACCTACACTTATTAAAGCTTAATAGTTCTAATGACCACAAGTACTCAACTTTCAACTTACTTAGATTTATTAATTTGTTCTAATTTAGTTCGATAGCGTTGAGAAGAATAACAACTAAGTTCTACGATATTTCATTCGTCAATTAAGTACTATATGATAATACTTTCAATTCGTATTACATACCCACTCAAGCGGCTACCATTATTCTACTAGTAGAATGGAGTGAAAACTGTTTTTTAATCTCTCACTATTTTCAATTTCAACAGAAAAAGCAATTTTAATTAATAGCTAATGTTGGGTTGTAATTAAGCTTTTACTTTGAATTACTTATGACAACTATCGCCTAAGTAATGTCAGATAGGTACATTATAATACTTACACTATAGCAAGCGAAGCTGCTGACAATGAAATTTAAAGAAAGTCCCTGGTGTATTTTGTAGCAAGAATTTTATATTCGAAGTTCCGCTAAATATGTGCTGCTAAAAACATACATATTTTGTACTAGGATCACGTAATTACTTTTAATATTACGTTGTATTAATACCGACAACGCGTTTATATAATGAGAAACTGTATATAATTTTGTTCTGTAGAACATTATCACTTGTATTTTTTTTTTATTGCTTACATTGGTGGACGAGCTCACAGCCCACCTGGTGTTAAGTGGTTACCGGAGCCCATAGACATCCACAACGTAAATGCGCCACCCACCTTGAGATACAAGTTCTAAGGTCTCAATTATAGTTACAACGGCTGCCCCACCCTCCAAACCGAAACGCATTACTGCTTCACGGCAGAAATTTTAGGCACTCCGAGCACCTGTTACCCTTCTCATCGAACACGACGAAGGGTTCGGCGAGTAAATCGCCCTCAGACACAGCCCACTGAGTTTCTCGCCGGATCTTCTCGGTGGGTCGCGATTCCGATCCGGTGGTAGATTCAGCGAAGCACTGCCCTGCATTGCTAATGTTAGCAAATTCGCCAGGCTGAGCCGTGTACTCTGACACTACCAGCATAGGTAGGGGGAAAAGTCTCTTTCGCTACATTGTAGAGGCGTACGACATAGGCTAACTATATGAATTTACAAAAATGACAACTATTTATGAGAATATTCCTGGTGGTAGCGCGCTTTGTGAGCTTGCACGCGTAAGTAACTACCACACTGCCTATTTAATGCCGCGAAGCAGTAATGCGTTCCGGTTTGAACGGTTGTACTGTAGAATTGAGACTTAGAGCCCATAGGTGGGTGGCGAACGTTGTTCAGGTCTAGAAGCTCCGGTAGCCACTTGCGTTGCCAGCGGCAGCTTAGTACCACGCACACGTGTACGCAGCACACCGGTAACTTTCGGACACATCATGCTGTCTCGCTAGGTACTCAATGGCTTGCTAGCGTATGCTCCGGAAATGGATATATTCCATGATGGTTTGCAGCGATTTATAGCTGTGGCTAGAAATTACATAAGCTAATATTATTAATAACTTACAAATTTTTTGACTATACTGTTAATTTGTAAGAAGACAAAAAAATTTACCCCAGATCAGCCGTAGTTCGTTAAGCCGTCTAAGCAATAAAAAACCAAAATTGTTTTTCATAAACTTAGGTTCACCATTTTGCCATTTCGAAAGTTGCTCCGAATATTCAGCAGGTATATTCCGGTCTTTTTCATAACACATTAAAGGCAAGAACTGTATTCAAGAATGAAATTGAATACAGTTCTTATTTTGTTCAATAATACTGTTCGAACGTCGTAATGGTAGAGATAATATTAATTCCTTTAAATATTAGCAGAACGTAGCAAAACGTTACAGTCAATTGGAAACAATCTTTTACGCCTTCCATCACTGAAGCTGTAGCAAATTAAATTCATACATATTGACATGGGCTAGAGATAGTAAGGTAGCTAAGCGGTTGGCAAAGGTTGCAGCTTCTGTAGGAGGCGGTGTCCGCAGGTAAGTGTCGCCTCACACGGGCCACCAGCCAAAACCACAAAGCGCAGCCACCGACCGACCTATTTCCTATTGTTAACCGACTTCAAAAAAGGCTCCTCCTTTTTCCGACCTTTTTTTCCCTACCTAAAAAGCTAACCTACCTACCTAAAGCTAACCTACCTGAAAGCCTTGAGAGGCTATATCAGCGGAACCTTAACTAGTAGCAAAGGAGGAGGTTCTCAATTCGACTTTAAGTCTGTTTTGTTTTTTTATGTTTGTTACCTCATAACTTTTGACTGAGTGAATCGATTTTGATGATTATTTTTTTTATTAGAAATCTGACGCTTCCCGTGTGGTCCCATTTCAATTTAGTCCAGTTCTGATAATTATATCCAAGACAAACAGATGAATAACTCAATATCACGCCAACCGACTTCGATGATTATTGTTTTTAGTGCATATTAATTTGTTTTGGAATATCTTTTTTTTTGTCTATTTGAAGTTGGTTTTTGTTAAAGCATGTCTATTTACAATTATTTTCATACATTTTATATGGACTCACCGCACACGGTTGACGCCGATGGCCGCCACACGCTACATATAAAATGTATGAAAATTACAGGGAATATGCCAGTGTGGTCGATGATCCGTGTGCGGCGAACCTAACGGGGCGACCGGACGAGTTGAGCCTACCACCATACACGCGTATTGACATCAAACACAAAGAGTGGGAATCGGGCTAGAGCTCTGAGAAATTGTTTATTGGGTAGCTACGGCATCGCGTTGGCTCAATGTAAGAATCAGGATCCCAGCCCAAAAACGTGAAGTTTTCAACATGCTTCAACACACCTCGAGGCATTTGTTTTTGCTTAGAATAAACAAGCTCACGGCCCAGTGGTTAAGTGTAATCAGAGCCCATAGATATCAAAAACGTAAATGCCGTCACCCATCTTGAGATACGAGTGTTAAATTAATTATTTCGTCGCTGCAGAAGTAAGTATAAAGTATAATTCTATCAACCCGTATGGGCTTATAGCACGGGCAAAACAACAAAATCAGTAAAATTGAAATGTGAAAATAGAAATCCAACTGATTAATATAGTTTTATAGGTAATTGTTTTGCTTTGTGATTTCAAGAAAAGTATATTTTCAGTGAACACATGGGTAGTTCTAGGAAATTGTATCCGATTGCTATTCCAAATCATGCGAGAAATTACGGGAGATAAAAATAAAATATTGACAGCGTATCGTCGGAAAAGCAGGTACGTCTCGGAGCCGACATACAGTAAATATGCGCGCGCGCACGTCTGGAGCTGACGAGGGTTCTATTTCGAGACACAGTAGCTTCATCGAGCATTCGCACGATCGGGCAGTCGGCAATCCTTTGTGTTTATCAAAAACGTATTTCTCAGTACCTATTTTAAAAACGTGCATCTTCATTTTAATTCGGCGCTAATGTAAGTGCGTTTTCTTTATAAAAGTCTTCCAAAATGGGAATCGCATTCAGTAGTACTCAATCGGGAAGACGCGACGCTGTAAGTGTTACCAGTGAAAGTGAAACAATAAGCGACGCTAAACTCTTGAGAACGATGGAGGACAAAGAAACTGAGTTGCATGAAGAAGAGATCGAGGATGATGTCCGAGTAAAAGCTAGAGAAGATGAAATGAATGAATTCAAAAAACAGTTGAATATAAAAAGAGAGCAAAGAAAAGAAATATTATCACGACATAGAACTGAAAAAGAAAATTTAGAAAAATCTTTGCATGACGAAAGGGTGTATACAATTGAATTGTGTGAATGCAATAAGCAGTTGCGTGAACTACTTATTAGGAACAATATCGAGATACCTGAAAATCTTCGCCAACCCGATGATACTCACGACATCAGTCTCGCGGTTGTGCAACTAAAAGATGAATTCGAAAAATTGAAATCATTAAATAATAAACTGAGGCAAGACTTAGCAGATTCGAACAAGTCTCTTCAGGATGCCAATTCTGATATAGCAGATCTCCATGCACAAAACAGAGAATCGATGAAGCAAATAAGTGCGTTAAAAGAAGTGGTGACAGCCAGTAAAACAATGATTAATCTCCGCGAAGATCAGCTTAATGGAGTAAGTGTTGTTTAATAATAATACAATTATATTATATATACACCATACAATTATAATTATTATATATACCTTATAATTATATTATATATTCGGATTACTTATTAGATATAAGGTATATATCAGTGTAAATTTCAATCAATATTATACTTTGTTATACTTAATTGATTTTTGGAAATGTTTGAAATATTACAGTTTATAATTCTTCCTAACACGCATCCAATGTGTGATATCTTTCAAAATATTTTCAAAACAGATTATGTCTGTTTTGTTTCAGTAGTAATAATAATTATCTATATGTCCTAAGGCAACGACCTGTAAGTACATGTGACTTACCGGTCAGGGACCGCATTCGGCATGCGCTTAAAGCGCATCGTACACTCTGGCACTAAACATCTTGAACTTAAGCCAAACAATGTTATAGTACATATTCGTAATAATAACTATTCAAAAACAGCCCGATGTGCTGGCCCGATTTTCGATTTAAAACAAACCCTACCAAGCTTACAATCACATATCGTCTTATTTATTTAGAGATGATAACTTAATAAATGAATACTGTAGTTATATAATTTGTTTTAAGACCAAGGAGGCTCAAACAATATAACCCCGTGTAAAAATTGGACCCAACGTATTAACTACATTAAAAAAATTATATTTCAGCTGAAAAATAAATTACAAGAAATAGAAAAGACTCTAGCTGACAGAGAAACGAACCTACTATCTGCTGATCTTAGACAAGAATATGAGAAACAATTACAAAACATACGCACCTTACGCGGACTTTACGAAGAGAGGGCGAGGTTAGCTGAGCTTAAGCGACTGGGACTGGTACGAGATTTGGAAGAACAAAAACGGTTACACCAAACAGAAATGGACAAGTAACGAAATCTTACCAACAAACACCATAAATTGAACGAAACAAATACAGAATTATAAATTTTTGATTATTTTTTACGATTTTTCAGATCTAAGGAATTAAAACTAAGAATAGACGAACTAGAAACAAAAGTCGACACATTACATGATATTATTGAAAATAAAAATAACCAGATATCGTCATGCCAAGACGAGATGAATGAAATGAAAGCTGAAATGGCTGTTATACATAAGGTGAGTTTCTAAAAGAAAAATTACCATCGAAAATTCGTGACTTTTTCGGTGATAACACGATTTTCATCTTTGCAGCTTTTCTCACAAGTTTTATTAGGCTACAAATCCAAACAAGACTTAGACAAATTAGTTCATAGGCTTGAAGAAAATCATGGGCTGCTGACCCACATGGCTGAAAAAGAAAATGGATCAGAATTATCTACAGCTTTACCTAAACTTTTGTTAGAACTGGTTAGTCAAGTTGAGGATAACGAGGAAACTAATAATAATGAAGAAAATCTTGATGATGAATGCAAAAGATCTCAAGAAAATAACAATATTACTGAAGAAGCAGGTTAGTTTAAAAAAAACGTGTGCTTAATAACATTCACAGAAAAAAAATATTTATAGTTTGTACCATATTTTCAGAAAGCCATATTGGTCAAAACACAACAGCTGAAGAAATCGTAGAAAATCTACCCAAAGTCTGGAAAGTCTTAATGGAACTTTTAAGTCATCAAACTATTGCTGAGCCTAATATTTCAGAAAAAGTGACCACATGCTATAAGTCGGTTGAAACAAAATCAGGACCTGTACTAGTGCCAAGCGTTAGTCAGACTTACATCAGATTAAAGGTAAAATTGTTAGTCACATCTGGAATTATACCATTAATGCAAATATTTTCTGAATCATGGTCGGTACTTGTCCGTGAATAAAAACGTTCGTGATCAGTTCTCGAAGCATAAAAATTCATAGTCACAGTGTAAATTGGAACCAAGCCAATGTTTTTGTGGAATTTGCATGCACAATAGCAATGTATCTCTAAAATCATCTTCTTATGTAAAATTATTGTTCTCTTTTTCAGGATCTTATAATAGAAAAATTAGGTTTAGTTAAAGAAGTAAATCGAATGAAGCAATTAAACTCACATTTGGAGACTCGGTTGCAAGAACAAGAGAAAAGACTTTGTCTTGTTACAACTGAACTAAGTAAAACGTGGCATGTAGTAAGCAGATTGCGTAAACATCATCACCAATTACATACTCATGAAAAAATACTCAAATACGAGTTACAACAGAAACGAAAATTGTTAAATGAACTGAAAGAAGAATTGGAGTACTGCCGCGAGAAATGGGAACAAGCTCGTGAAAAAAATACTCAGTCTGAAAGAGATTGGAAAAAGCTGCGGGCTGAATTTTCTAGTCGGAAAACAAAAACAAACTCTCTTTCACTGAACAACTCTGCTGAGAGTGGTTATAGTGATGAACGACCTTCTGATGAGTCGTCTGAATCGAATGATGAAAGCGAATATGTGACCGAACCTCTAGTGCGATGTAAGAAAAAAATGAAGAAATCATTTGAAAATATTTTAGATTCTAGTACAGATTTTAATCTAGCAGCAGAAAGAGAAGATCCAGTTAGTGATATGATCGATGTGGCTGATCTACCACTAGACAACCATGATGTTGATAATGATCAAGAAGATATTTCTGAAATTAGTAAAAGTGAAATGGTGCTGAAAAGTGACAAAACATGCGATGAAACTGAAGACGAATTATGTGACATTGCCCATGATGACTCACCTATTGAAGAAACAGCAATTGAACCAGGCTGCAGTGAAGAAAGAGATAAAGCTAATACAACGATAATTTCTATTGATCCAGCAGAAATTTTAAGAAACATTAGAAACCAAAACGAAAGACTCGCTCGAAAAGATGAAAAATTGGAACAGTTAGAAAAATCTAGCATTTCTTTATTAAAAAAGACACAAGCCACAATAAAACTAGGCGATGAAATAAATAGCACATTGGACCACCTTCTTAATCGACCAACGTCTAGCGGAAGCCCAATCGGTCATAGTTCAATTGAAAAATCTCTTCCGATATCTATCGAATTAGATAACGAAATCTCAAAGGAAGAATATGGTTCGGATTGTTCAACTTTAGAGAGTAAACGATTCGTTACATCCGAAAGTCTAGTTAGGAATGATGATGATTATAGTGCTGTTGATAATTTGCAGGCCACTGATTGTATTCAATCCGAAACTGATTTGAAAACTATTTTAGAAAATGTTACAAAACAAAATGAAAGATTGTCAAAAAAAAACGAACGTCTAAAACAACTCGAATCGGGATGCGCTAAAGTTATAGAAAACTTGTCTAATACTATGACGGTTGGTGAAAATATCAGTAAAAATTTAGATTCTCTTCTTATAGAACACAAAGGTCAAGATGAAACCGCTGAAGACGAAGCAAAAGATACTACCGATTGTCAAATATCTGAGCCTTCCACATCAACTGAAATTGATCATGAAGCTCGTTTTGCTGCCCGTGATCTCCGTTTAAAGAGATTAGAAGAACAAACAAAATCTCTTGTAACTAAAGTCAACAAGACAACGTCAAAAGGTGTTAAAATACATTATAAATTGCAAGAGTTACATAACATTTACGGGTCTGATAATTCCAGAGCCGGTACACCTTCAGAAGAAAATGACGACAAAAGTACTGAAGATGACGCTAGTATTGAAACAGAATGATCGAAAGTGGCTGAAATATTGTATATAATCTGATAAATTTATAATTTATGTAACTATTATAAGTAGTTGTAAATGAAATAAAAAACGTAAAAGTATTTCTATTTTTGTAAGTATTTATTTACAAGAATCGTTTATTTCGATGTCTTAAAGTATATAAACGACATTTACTTACGTAATCTATTCTTAATTAAGTATTACAGATTTGTCTCCAGCCCCAACTATATCTTAAGTAGATACAGATTTGTTAAATTTAGCCTCGGTAAGATCAAAGTGTAAATAATTTACGTTAAATTAAAGCTGAATACAGATTGGTGATGATTTCACAGTTTGTAGTGAAATCTTGTTTATTTGTATCGTTCGTTGAATGACTTGTTCTCCAGGCCAGTCATAGTCTTAGGATCGACAGGTTTGATACTATCGTCCAATACTGCGACAACAACTTGTGGTCTGTCCAAGTTCTTGCCGGGCGCGACCCGGTACAGTCGCCAAGCCCAGATAGATAATAACAGCATCTCAAGCAACATGACGCCGTTTTGTATCACTGAAAAAAATATTCGATTAATAAAACCTAGGTACTTAGGTGATATAGTCGATCCGAACTTTTTTATTTATTTATTGCCTAGGCAGACGAGCACACGGCCCACCTGATGATAAGTGATTACCGTCGCTCATGGACGTCAGCAATGCGATGGGGCAAAGCCAAGACGCTGCTTGCCTGCTACTTAAAAATACTACCATAAAAAATGTGCTGATCATCATTTTTCAACATAATTCCTGTTGACAACAGGATTTATGTATTATTCGTATGTGGCAAAACAAAATTTTTAATTTAATTTTAAGTAAATAGCTGAATCCTACTTTGAAGATTTAATAGTATATTATTATGCTACTATTTATTAGGGGATATGTGGGTACCTATCCTCAGCTGCATTTAGCTACTGCTGCTAATGAGACTTCTACCTCATGCTTATGGAGTGCTGACAGAATTCACTCTTCAACTATTTTAATGACAAAACAAAATGATTAATTTATTTTTAAGTAAAGGGTAAGTAAGCACTTAGCGTCAGCTGAAGAGTGAATTATGTTAGCTATAAAGTAGGATTCTGTCAACGATGTAGGTCTAGTTTTATGTAAGATATTGGTGACTCACTGTTGATGAACACCGAAGGATTTATGCTTGACACGCATGGAATCTCAATAAGTTCTGGTAAGAACTTCGCAAAGCCACTTTGCACTTTCACGATTATGAGTGCCAGCTGGACTGCCAAGAACCTGGGCCTGACTCTATGGCCTGCCGTTTCCGCCATGCGGACGCACATTATAACTCCCCACACGCCGGTCAGAATAGATGCAGCGATAAATGGTTGAAAGTATGTGAAGCTTTGATGGTATATCATCTAAAATAAAGAGAAATTATTGTAAGAGGCAAGTAGATCTTTTGATGACTCTTTTGTATATGATCCAATAATAATCACTTATTTCATATCTTTTAAGTAAGTAAACTTGGCTTCTAAATTTATTTTATGCCTACTGTTAAAACCATAGAGTTAGGTGCTCCCACGCTTAACGGAAAAACAGTCCTAAAAAAATATTAAAGATTTTCTCCGGATGTTACTGCGGCCAATAAATAAATTAGTGTCGTGAGTATAATTACCATATCATCGGCCAATAGAGCGAGTAATACGACATAAATGAGGGCTTGAATAATAGGCATTTGCATAACCAGGCATTTCATGAATACCAGGCTTCGTCTGGAAAAAAAAACACGACGATTTAATAAAGATCCTTAAAATTATTATTTTATTGGTTTGTTGACACAAAGCTTTGAGATCGCTGATGTACGAATATATCAGATAACTTTCGCAAAAATTACATTCTAATAGATCCGTGTGTGGCTTTCGTAATTTTTTTTTGGGTCAAGCTTAATCTTGGTCCCACGGATACTTCGTTAGATATGTATAATACATTAGAATTTATTAGGCTTTAATTCAGAAAACTTCTTTTTTTTATGATTGAAGTATTGGTGGCCCGTAGGCCTTTCCAGTTTCACCAGGAAAGGTGGGGGAGGAAAGGCTCAGCCAGGAGGAGTGGGATTTGCTAACAGCTGCCCGAGCGCCACCGAAGGAGACCTAACAACTCAAGAGCAACTACTTCGCGAATGAATCTACTACCGGATCGGAATCGCGACCCGCTGAGAAACTCAGCGGACTGATGCATGGGTTAGGCGTAGAAAACTATTATCCCATCATAACCTTCCAACCACTTTCAAATCGGAACGCCATTGCACCATTGCTATTGGGTAACTCGTGTGAGTTTACAAACCGCGGTCAGTTTACAACGGTTTTACGGGTTTTACAACCCACAATCTACCTTAATTTTATATGATTTTAAATTTACTCTCATATCAAAACCTATGTCGTACTTTTGTCGGTTCAGAAAAAAACAAAACAATAATGAAAAAGGAAAACAATACAAAAGACTCAAATCGAATTCAGTAACGAAACAACTTGAATATTGAAAACAACATTGAAAACGAACAACAATACTAAATTAATACAGTAAGTAAATGCTATTAACATGAAATTCAGGTTCAATATGGTAAATTAATAGCACACTATAATTAAATACGTTTTCAAAATTCATTAGTCATTCGCATCGTCACACCTTCAGCAATAATTGTTGATCAAAAAGTCAAACAATAATTTATATAAACTACTTTAATAAATAAAAAAGCTACAAATATGAAATAACTACGATTCATATATTTTAAGGTGCGTTGATAAAACAGAATAAAAACGTATTTTGAAAATTGTAATATCCAAATATTGGACCTTTGTGATCAAGTTTAATATAATTACATTTGTATAAGTAGTGATAATACATGTAATTATCTAGAGCATAGCACAATAAAACGATTAAAAACCAAATAAACATAATATCTACGAGTTAATTTACGTGCATTATCTCTCCCAAGCCCTCGAGCTTACTAGAACAGGTAGCAAAAAAAAATCTCTTGATACGAATACACCGGGAGTTTTATCCTTTAGGTAACGACGTCTTTTTTATGGATTACATTGATCACGTCATTTGAATTAAGAACTCTTATCTGCTTACGAATACCGGCCGCCTAGGGCACATCAAATCTAACTTAATATAAAAAAATATCAATTAGTCAAATTCACACATTAAACGAGTACATCGGTGTTGGTCTATGTGTATAATGCACGGAATAGATAAATAAAATTATTTACCTAGTTACCTTATTTATCTATTCCGTGGTATAATGGATATTCGCACGTTGTCTAAAACAAAAAGGTCACACATCACACACATAACTTTNGGGCACATCAAATCTAACTTAATATAAAAAAATATCAATTAGTCAAATTCACACATTAAACGAGTACATCGGTGTTGGTCTATGTGTATAATGCACGGAATAGATAAATAAAATTATTTACCTAGTTACCTTATTTATCTATTCCGTGGTATAATGGATATTCGCACGTTGTCTAAAACAAAAAGGTCACACATCACACTCATAACTTTTTTTAAAGAAATTGAACCTTAATCAACAATGTAAAATATTTACTTACTTTTGAAGTTTAGGTCTTGGTATCAAACAGCAAGGCCAGCAACAACACGGCAAAACTCTGGTCTCGAGTCTGGCATCAGAGCTTCGCCTGTAATATCATATTTTGCTGCTAATAGAGTTTACATAGTAGTTGAATTTACTAGAGTATAAGCATCAGCCTGAAAATGCTGACGAAGTGATCCATAACTGAATGGAAGAACTGAACATCCGTTGGCCAGCCTGACAAGCAAAGCGATAAATACCTTGTAAATGTTATAATTTTATTATGGTTACCCATTCATAAAAACAGCGAGCACAATGCAGTGAATTATAGTCAGAATTAGCTTAAGTTGATATATTTAATACTTAAATTATTATTTTATGTAAACAGTAGAACATATGTTTTTGTTAATATTTATACACAATATATTATAATTTTCTGTCATCAAAATGTCCTAACCATTTGCGAAATACTTTTGAAATTTAAGTACCTGATAAGCTGGTCGGGCCCTCCACATTCCGTGATTATCATGCTGTAGAGGTGGCACATGGCTATCATCACGGCCTCTTGAGCTATAGCTTCGGCCAAAATCCGGCCTCTAGGGAGGACTATAGCTAAGAATGCCGACGATGCCACAATCTGAAAGAACACAAACTTTGTGTTAATTTTCATTCTGTGAACGTTCTTTTAAACCTTTTTAACTATTATGAAGTCGTCGTGGCCTAAAGGATAAGACGTCCGGTGCATTCGGATCTAGCGATGCACCGATGTTCGAATCCCGCAGGCGGGTACCAATTTTTCTAATGAAATACGTACTTAACAATTGTTCACGATTGACTTCCACGGTGAAGGAATAACATCGTGTAATAAAAATCAAACCCGCAAAATTATAATTTGCGTAGTTACTGGTGGTAGGACCTCTTGTGAGTCCGCACGGGTAGGTACCACCGCCCCGCCTATTTCTGCCGTGAAGCAGTAATGCGTTTCGGTTTGAAGGGTGGGGCAGCCGTTGTAACTATACTGAGACCTTAGAACTTATATCTCAAGGTGTGTGGCGCATTTACGTTGTAGATGTCTATGGGTTCCAGTAACCACTTAATATCAGGTGGGCTATGAGCTCGTCCACGCATCTAAGCAATAAAAAAAAAATAAAAAAAATTCGACTACCGCTAAATATGTATATTTACAATATTATGTCTAGTACTACATACAAGACTTGTCCTGAAGTGTACATATAACTGCAAATGTACACACAACTCGAACATGACAATTCACTACGACGATTGTATGTTTCTTGCCTGTCGTGCGACTTACAAAATTGGCAACAAATTACTATTTATCATATTTTCTTAGTTTGGGCTTTTTATGGGTTAATAAGAAGGAAAGTAAAAAAAGTTTGGTCTTTCTCGACAGCAACAATATAAATCTTCAATATTTACTTAATTAATTATAACGTAGGAACTTTGTCACATAAATCGTAAAGTAATATCGTAATCTAAACTTAGCCAAGAATGTGTTCTTGGCCGAATTGAAAGCAAACACCGTGGGATTTATTTGTATTGAACGTTAATGAATGAAGTTAATTGCGCTTATTCTCCGTGGTTCGCAAACAAGTAGGCATAGTTAAAGTTTCTAGAATGTTTAGGTACACCTGTATTTAAAATAGCACTTGATTCAGTGTGTGTATCTATGTTTGATTAACTTGACATGATTTATCAACTTGAAGATAACGAGACGGAAATAGTGCCGACTTTTCAATGGAAAATGTCCATTGGCATTAATAATTAATATTCAATCTTCGGTCAATTTAAACCTTAGTGCAATTTTAATTCGTAGTGCACATGTAATATGGCCGTAATTTAACAATACTACAATTCCATTCCTAAAGATGAAATAGTATTTATATATTACTAGCTGACCCGGCACACGTTGTTTTGCCATATATAAGATTTCTAGGGAATTTCTAGTGTAGAAATCATTCAACCACATAATACCTCATTATAACAAAAAAAATTCGTCCTAAAATTAAAAAAATTATGTTAGGGGTGGACAACCCTTATCACTTAGGGGTGTGAAAAATTTATAGTAGCCGATTCTCAGACCTACTGAACGTGCATATAAAATTTCATAAAAATCGGTCAAACCGTTTGAGAGGAGTATGGTAACTAACATTGTGACAAGAATTTTATATATAAGATTTAGATGAAACTATGATTTACACACACTGTACGCATGAGTTACTTTAGAATCTTTATTGCGCTCTTTAATGTTGACGTCATAGTACAAAAGAGAGCGCTTTTTGTGTGGCAGCACTTTTCAATCAACATGCGAATTAATGGAATAAAAATACTATTGAAGGAGAGGTACTATTACAATTACAATCTATATATATAAAAATGAATTGCTGTTCGTTAGTCTCGCTAAAACTCGAGAACGGCTTGACCGATTTGGCTAATTTTGGTCTTGAATTATTCGTGGAAATCCAGAGAAGGTTTAAAAGGTAGATAAATATGAAAATGCTCGGAATTAAATAAAAATAACAATTTTGTTTTTCCTTTGATGTGTCTCCCATCGGACGGATTCCTTTTGTTTGTTTTAAGTTTATTTTATACAAAAGTTTAGGTCTTATATTTATAGATTGAGGCACTACGAAGTCTGCCGGGTTAGCTAGTATACTAATAGAATATTTTGGTGATTTTTTGTATTCACTATCGAGAAAGTATTCTATAAAAGTTTACACCGTTATGCACGTAATGAATTTACGTCTTTAAAACTACATAAATTACCAAAACTCCATGTACTCATTAAATCAAGTTACAATTTGTGATTTTTTATTTCTAAATATGTAAATGTGAGGCGCCGTGGCTTAGTCGTCCATAATAACCGCCGTTGCAAAACGTTGTGTGACTTTGTGCTCTCTTACGCAACGCAGCGTTGTAGTGTTGTGTAAAATACAAATGAATTATATAATATTGTCGATAATTTAACTTCACAAAGCATATTCAAAAGTAACAAACAAACATTATATAGATTTATATGTTATGTATTATATTTGTATATTTTACTTGACTTTTTCTAAGGAGGGGTAGTTTGGCGCACAACATTATTCTAAGCCGCATGAATTGGTTCTAAGTTAAATTATTAGAAAGTATCAAAGTTGACAATCGACATTCCGGTATTTCGTTCCAATAGTAAGTTGTAGCTTCATCATTACTAGTAACAGCATTTGTTTATCAATGAGTTTAGATGATTATAATGACAATAGTCTCTCTCCAGATATTAATAAGAAAATGCGGGTCTGCAACTTTTTTCCCATCCTATTCGTAAATAGCCTAGGGGCCTATTTCAGCTACGCCCGGATTCAACCTGAGAGAATTTGCTAACACTAGCCCTAGCAAAAGCAGTGCTTCGCAGAATCTACCACCGGATGGATCGGAATCGCGATCCATTGAGAAGATCTGGCGAGAAACTCAATGAAGATATGCAACCTCATCGTTTTCTAACTACTATAATTGCCTCCCTTTAATCAGTCCTTAGTAGCAGTATCTCCAACCATTTTCCTACGTCTACCTAATTCTACTCTTAAGCAGTTTTCGCTGGTCACGTTAAACGCCCCCCGAGCATGCTGCTTGATACAATTTTGGAAAAATGTCATATAGTTGGTTTGAAAGTTTAGGTCTCCCGATAACCCCTTTGAGAATTTAGCTCCGATAGTATTTTATTGAATTTGTTTATTGATTTTAAAACGAGATGGACCTATCGAGTGTACAAAAAGAGCTTATATGAATTTTCATCCATAAATAAAAAATATGCACTTAAATGAGTGTATTATCAAATGTTAACTATCAAATTTCAAATGATTCTGATAAAGGGCAGGCCCCACTCTTTTAAAATTAATTGAATAAAAATATTAAAAAGGACGACGAAATCCTGATAAAATTATAAGGGATCAATTTTCGCCATTTTGCTACGAACCCCTCAAACAAAACTCACGTGCCTACGCTGCATTTAATGATGATTGATATTACGAAAATTTCAATTTAATTTCAAATTCATTCAAGATTCATAGCTGTGTGTATAAGGTTAATTCGAGTTCAAAAGATAGTTATTTATAAACAAGAAACATTTGTATAAAAAAAAAAAAAAAAAAAATTTTACATTTTATAATTATAATTCAATATTATTGAAATTAGCCTCGAAAATAGCACTTTCACTTCAATTTTGTAATAACGTTTATTCATTGACTAATGAAATTCTTAGATATTTCTTAAGCTTATAATTTTATGAACCGTGAATATAAATGTCCATTGTATCAAGTTGTTCTTTTTTCTTAGAGCATTGATTAAAATAAGAAATTCTACGTGTCTTCTCGCCTGAATTTGATTCTTCTGTTGCTTAATTCATTTATTTTTAAAATTACTGTCGTTTGAAAGTATTCAAAGGTATTCGTTGCTTCCGGATTATAAAATAATGTTATCAAATATAAAGCCACTGATAAGTTATAAGGTAGGATTCGAAGAAAAAAATAAACATTTCATTTATATAAAATAGCCGACTGTCGAAATCTTCTGGATATATCTCGTGCCGCTCGATAAATTATTGTCAGAAATATCTCCAATTTATTGAAATGGTACTTACGGGGTAGACAGCCAAAACCACAGTGACGTTTGTTGAACTCTGTCTCCAGTGCTGCCACGCTGCACGTATGGTTACAACAAACAAAATGCATGTGGCCATCAACACCGCCAGTCCACATATCCATAACACCCAGATGTATGGGCTCAGTGCTGAAAAACAAATATTTATTGTTTTAGCAAATATATTGATACAATCGATTTCGGCGTAATAGATTTTTTTTACTAAAAAGTGGAGCCCATAAAAATAACAATAGTAATAATGTTTTTATTGCAAGTAACCATGACTTTTTTTTTTTTTTTATTGCTTAGATGAGTGGACGAGCTCACAGCCCACCTGGTGTTAAGTGGTTACTGGAGCCCATAGACATCTACAACGTAAATGCGCCACCCACCTTGAGATATAAGTTCTAAGGTCTCAGTATAGTTACAACGGCTGCCCCACCCTTCAAACCGAAACGCATTACTGCTTCACGGCTGAAATAGGCAGGGAGGTGGNAGGTAGATGGGAAAAGACCTCGGGGGCGCAGCCCAATACGTTGGTCCGACCAGATCCGCACCGCTCTTGATTCCACGTTTCACAACGCCCTCCACACCGCCAGAGACAAGAATGGATGGAGAAAAATCGTGCGTGCGAAGGTGATACAAAAGGGTGGTCACGACCCTCAGCAATGAGGAATACGACGCAAGGAGGAGGATTTATCAATGAGGTTTGATGATTATAATAACAAGTCTCTATTCAGCTATTAATAAGAAAATGCGGGTCTGCAACTTTTTTTCCTTGCCTAATCGCTGGTAGCCTAGGGGGCTATACCAGCTATGCCCGGACAGGTAGGTGGGTACACGGGTTCAGGCTCGCGCAGACCCCCGGCAACGCCTGTGTGCGAAACCCATGAAGCACCCCCTATTTTTACGGATCTTCATGTTTCAATGTATTTTGTTTATTATTTGTTAATTTTGACTTATTGTTTTGACGTAAATTTTAGGAAACTTGTACTTACATGTTTTGTTATTTACAAGACATATGTTACACCTAATGTAACTCTGTACATAACGATACTCCATTACAAAGAATATTTTGTTGCGTAAGTGTAACATAAATCATTTCGGTGACGGTGCCCTTATTGTCTTGGCGCCTGTGTGCACCGCACACTCCGCACACGGGGACGGCGCGGCCCTCCACGGGTTCAACCTGAGAGAATTTTCTAGCACTAGCCCTAGCAAAAGCAGTGCTTCGCATAATCTACCACCGAATGGATCGGGATCGCGATCCATTGAGAAGATCTGGCGAGAAACTCAATGAGGCTATGCAACCCCATCGTTTTCTAACTACTATAATTGCCTCCCTTTAATCAGTCCTTACTAGCAGTATCTCCAACCATTTCCTAACGTCTACCTAATTCTACTCTTAAGCAGTTTTCGCTGGTCACGTTAAAAGCCAACACGAGCAAGCTGCTTTTCTGTACACAATTTTAGGGAAATGTCATATAATTAATTTGAAAGTTTAGCTCTCCCGGTAAGTCCTTTTAGAATTCAACTCCAATAAGATTTTATTACGTTTGTTTATTAATTTTGAAATGAGATGGCCTATCGAGTGTATAAAAAGAGCTTATTTGATTAAATAAAAATGATGAAATTAAATGAGTGTATTATCAAATGTTAACTATCGAATTTCAAATGATTCCGATAAAGTGCAGGCCCCACTCTTTTAAAATTAATTGAATAAAAATATTAAAAAGGACGACAAAATCCTGATAAAATTATAAGGGATCAATTTTCGCCATTTTGCTACGAACCCCTCAAACAAACTTAACACGTGCCTACGCTGCATTTAATGATGATTGATATTACGAAAATTTCAATTTTATTTCAAATTCATTCAAGATTCATAGCTGTGTGTATATGTATAAAGTTAGTTCGAGTTCAAAAGATAGTTAGATACAGGAAACTTTGTAATATTTTACATTTTATAATTATAATTCAATATTATTGAAATTAGCCTCGCAAATAGCAATGTCATACTTTCACTTCAATTTTGTAATAACGTTTATTAATTGACTAATGAAATTCTTAGATATTTCTTAAGTTTATAATTTTATGAACCGTGAATAAAAATTTCCATTGTATCAAGTTGTTCTTTTGTCTTAGAGAATTGATTGAAATAGGTTAGACATATTATGTAGTCTTTGTTTTAAGAAGAAATTCTAGGTGTATTTTCGCTTGAATTTAATTCTTATATTGCTTAATTCATTTGTTTTTTAAATTACCGACGTTTGAAATTATACAAAGGTATTCGTTGCTTGCGATTATAAAATAATGTTATCAAATATCAAGCCACCGCTAAATTAAGGTAATATTCGTAGAAAAAAAATTACATTTCATTGATATAGAAGTATACCAGGTACTATAGCCAACTCTCGAAATCTTTTGGACATCTCTCGTGCCGCTCAATAAAATACTCTCAGAAATATCTCCAAATTATTGAAATGGCACTTACGGGGTAGACAGCCAAAACCACAGTGACGTTTGTTGAACTCTGTCTCCAGTGCTGCCACGCTGCACGTATGGTTACAACAAACAAAATGCATGTGGCCATCAACACCGCCAGTCCACATATCCATAACACCCAGATGTATGGGCTCAGTGCTGAAAAACAAATATTTATTGTTTTTAGCAAATTGAAACAATCCATTTCGGCTTATTAGATTTTTTTTACTAAAAAGTGGAGCCCATAAAAATAACAATAATAATAATGTTTTTATTGCAAGTAACCATGACTCATACAAATTGTTAGTAAGACTTACACTTATGTTAGTAGTTATATTTACATCACAATGAATTACTGTCGTAACATCCCATGGGAGATGGCACCACAGCGACCCATGTATACACAGTCCAGCCTGCTTGCGATCATGCTCAGGATAAATAAATAAATAAATAAATGGCGCCACTCAATATACTCGTATTATCGCAATATTTAATTAAATTCTGTAACAGCAAACCAACCATCCAAACCAGAATGAATGAGTCATTTTCCACAAGATTAGAGAGGAAGTACCTACAAGCTCACGGATCACCCAACACCAATAAACGTATTCTGCATTCATATTGAGGCTCCAGCAACAGCAATATGGCGGCTCAAACAACATGGCGACGAATTCCATTAAAGTAATATACACTTTCATAGAGCGAACATAAAGTTGAGAAACTTGAATTAGAATTAATTATTCGAATTAGAGAATTATAAAGTAGAGTAAACAGTATAAAAGAAAACGCTTTATCGGTTAGAAAAAGGAGAAGGCTAAAACTCGTTTATCGCAAATTTGAAATTCCAATTTTAAACAAACACTAATTTATCAAGAGTTCACTTTGTTAGTTAAAACATGTAATTTACACGAAATGTAAATTTAAAAGACACATTCAAAAACAATGCCTAAGTTTTGTTCACTTACTAGTTGCTTACTAGAGCTTGAAAATCCTTCCGCAATAGAAATGTAATAAGTTCATGCGTAGATTAATCAAACAATCATGTAACTCATCAAATATGTACGAGCATGTAAAAGCATTTTTCTTATCGATGGTAGAGATCTCATTGCCGCTTACATAATACCGTGTTGGTATTGTCCTTCTTTTTTTTTTCTACCTATGCTGATAGCCTTGAGAGGCTATATCAGCTTCTCCTTGACGTGTAGGTGAGCTCACGGGACTCAAACCGGGTGTATTGCTAACACTGGCCCTAGTAAGAGCAGTGCTTCGCAGAATCTAACAGCGGATCGGAAACGCGACCCACTGAGAAGATCCGGCGAGAAACTCAGTGGGCTGTGTCTATGGTTTAAGATATTGTGCAGTTAGTAAGTAATCTACCATATTTTCTTCATAGTTTGAAGAGAAAAATATTATTATACAAAGTTTCAACATTTTTCAAATAAAAAAGTTGGACCGGTGTTTTTTATCTGATGTGAATCACTGAGATGAAATTAGTATATACTAAGATCTTGATAAGATACGACCAAGACTTAAAATAGTGTGAAAGTAAAAGAAGCATGAGATGTTTTGCTTTCTCGTCGCTTGAAGATCAATCGAATTAAAATATAGTAATTTTGTTCATTTTCATAGTACATATTCTTTTTTACAAATGCTTCATATTGGGAATTTTCCCCATAAACTAAAGTCTGATAACTAACAGCATGACTCATTAACCACTTTCGATAATGTTCAGATTAAATAGATATTGGGTTTTTCATCGGACGTTTATGATTTGTATAGGTGTCTGCAGATTGTATATTGCAATAATATAATATATATATATACATATGTATACTTGTACATTTATAGCTCAAATTTCTTTATACATACAACAGTGGCTACAAAAGTCGTCGTGGCCTAAAGGATAAGAAGTCCGGTGTATTAGTTTCGAACGATGCAGCGGTGTTCGAATTCCGCCGGCAGGTACCAATTTTTCTAATAAAATACGTACCTGCCTAACAAATGTTCACGATTGACTTCCACATTGAAGAAATAACATCGTGTAATAAAAATCAAACCCGCAAAATTATAATTTACGTATTTACTGCTTGTGAGACCTCTTGTGAGTCCTCACGGGTAGGTACCACCACCCTGCCTATTTTTGCCGTCAAGCAGTAATGCACATCGGTTTGAAGAGTGGGGCAGCCATTGTAACTATACAGAGATCTAAGAACTCATATTTCAAGGTAGGTGGCGGCATTTACGTTGTAGCTGTCTATGAGCTCCGGTAACCACTTAACGCCAGGTGGGCTGTGAGCTTGTCTACCGATCTATGAAAAAAAAATTACTATGCATATGAAATATAAACTTAAAGAAACTTAATAAAAATATTTAACACAAAAATATACACATAATTTTACTAATTGATAAGATGTCAGTCTAAACATTAACCATCCTCATGTTGACGAAAACACAATAAGAAGCGCTACAAAAAGCAAATTAAGTTGGTACACAAGTTTCATTGAAATTTGTGGATGTTTATAATTTATTATATTATATAAGCTTCATTTCGTCAGGGGAGACTAAATCTATCTAAGTCTAATGAATATAACTAAAAAAAGAGATTATCATATGAATGCCATTACCCAATGAATTTCTCATCGGATCTTTTAATAGGGTCGAGATTCCGATCCGGTGGTAGATTCGGCAAAGCACTGCTCTTGCTTGAGCAAATGAACCCTCTCAGGCTGTGAGCCCTGTGAGCTCGCCACCGGTCAATGTGTAGCCAAAATGGCAATGCTAGGGTACTGGCAGATAGGTAGGCAAAAAAAGGATACCATATACAAAATATGTGTTGTGGGAAAAGTAGTAAGAGGACACAGATGTCTTACTGAACACTGAAATTACTGAAAAACATTTAGCTGAACGTTATCTTTACTAAGGTAAGAAAAGATCAGGAATAAATTAATATTCAAGAGTGTGAGTGCTTATCATATTCTTTCTTTAGCTAACAAAATTGCATAAGTAAGCCATAAGTATTCATAAAAATAGTAATGGCGGAACAGGGCATAAAAATGTTCATTGCATAAGTTTGTAGGCAATTAAACATCAAGGCTCGAGATTTTAAGCACGATTCTAACAATACGTACAATCAAAGTAACCATGAATGTTATGAAACTAACTAAGATTATTGTTAATTTTAGCGGTAACAAAAATTTTTAGTTCACGCAGTAATGTTTCAAGTTATTCGATCGAATGGTGCACCTACACTACCGAATCTTTGAAGTATACATAGTATTACAAATACTATAAATAATATCATCAATTTATGATACTGTTTACACTTTTCAAGGCGTTGGAAAGTAACTCTTTCGTCCATTTTTTTCTTCTTCGGGTCTTTTTTCTATTTCTAATTGCGATCAACTCTCCTGTCGTCCAAAAGTATTTTTCTCGGTTCTTTTTTTTATTGCTTATATGGGTGGACGAGCTCACAGCCTACCTGGTGTTAAGTGGTTACTGGAGCCCATAGACATCTACAACGTAAATGCGCCACCCACCTAAGTTCTAAAGTCTCAGCATAGTTACAACAGCTGACCCACCCTTCAAAACGAAACGCATTATTGCTTCACGGCAAAAATAGGCAGGGCGGTGGTACCTACCCGTCCGGACTCACAAGAGGTCCTACCACCAATAATTACACATATTATAATTTTGCAGGTTTGATTTTTATTACACGATCTTATTCCTTCACCGCGGTAGTCAATCGTGAACATTTGTGAAGTACGTTGTGTAAAAATGTGCATCAGAGATAGGTACTTTTAACCTTTTGAACGCCATAGTCACATATTTGCAACAAACGAAGGCTTGCAAAGCTAATTTATTAGAGTAGATTATAGAGTCAGTTGTCATACTGTTAAAATTATTGTGATCTGCAGTGCTGCCATTACTATTATTTAGTTATTTAATTATGTATTAATTGTAACAAAGGGTAATTAATATTATTATTTATCATTTTAAATACTTCATGAAAATATTTATCAAAAAATAATGCTTTTTGTGGCAATAGTATTAATGCCATCCTTTACAAATGTATTAAACCGGAAGTACACAAAAATCGAATTAAAAGCTTATCGAATTCACATTTTTTCGTGGCTTTGCCACGTAAATCTAACATCGCATAAAAAACGAGCAAATAAAATGATGAAGTTTCGTTTATGTCTTAATCTAAGACGCCTTTTAAAACATTCAGGTAAAAAATTGCCATTGTTCTTTGGTACTCGCCTGCGGGATTCGAACACCGTTGCATCGCTAGATGCGAATGCACCGGACGTCTTCTCCTTTAGGCCACGACGACTACAATTTAATTTCTCTGAAGGCATTGTGAATAAGTGAATAAATGTTCTATGATTTGTATTACAGAAAGAAGATGAACAATTTATTTCTATGTCCAATATAGATAAAGTGAGTATATTATATAAATGACAATTCGTGGCCCTTTTTTTTATTAATTTGTGCGTGTTTTATGATTTCGTAAGTTGATGCACTTGAATTTTATTCAAATTCAGAACTCGATTCAACAAATGGATGTAAATCACACACATAACGAAAGCTCTAGAAAAGCATGACTAGCGTGAGTAGGAACTAGAATTAAATTTAACGTTGAAATCAACGAATAAACCAACAATTTATATATTTATATATTTTTATATTATATATTTATGGTATAGGTACTACGCCCATTTATTCAAAATACCCGCAATACATTATTACAGGAAGTAAAGTCTTAAATACTGATATATATAACGTGTAGAACTTTAATTACCAATGAATCATAAATCGTGTTCATACTTTATGTTACCAATAGGTTCAAATTTAATGTGTTTTCGTGCGTCAAGAAAACCAATTTTAAAATACGCACACGTGGTACAAGATAATATTCAACTAAGGAAACAACTTTAATAATTATTCAGAAAATGTATATAATATAAACACACATTGTTTGTTAATTAATGGAACATTTTCCTAGTCATTTTATTTGTTGCTACCACGGTTCTTATTTCTGCCGCAAAACAATCATGCGTTCCATTTCGAATGTCAGGAAAATTAACTAAGACCTCACTTTTTGGTGACTCTTGACCTCGTTCACTTTCGGGAGCTCGTCTGCCGTCTGTTTAAAAAATAACCTAAACTCATTTTGCCTGAATCAGATAGTTAAGGGGCTATTCTCCAGTTACTAAAGAAGATGTTTAAAAATCGTCTGTCTGTTAATCAGAGGAGAAAGATAAATAGAGGCAAATAGGACCACTACTACTAAAACTTCCTCAAGAAGCATTAGGTTCTACTATCATTAGCTTCTCTTTTATTGTCTAATAATTCCTACTTTTCTAACGGCTCTACCTAGTGGCTACACAAAGTACCAGTAGACAAAGAGGGAGTCTTCTACTCCTTCGATAGATTTTTATTCATTTTGTTAATATTTATTTTGTCGACTACATTTTTAACGAATGACCCAACTTCCCAATTGACTTTTTCAACGTGTGGCAACGAAGGCTAAGTAACTAACAAAGGTGAACAGGGTCGCTCCGACTGAAAGACATCAACAAAATATTTTAAATTTTATTTCTTTCGTAAGCTACTTTAAGCGATAATAAGTTGCTTTTTTTTAGTTCCCCTTGTATACAGACGAGCACAGGGCCCACCTGATGGTGCCTGGTTAAAGTCGCCCATGGACTTCAGCAATGCCAGGGGCAGAGCCAAGCCGCTGCCTATCGCTTAATACTCTCCACAAGCCTCGTTTGAAAAAGATGTCATAGCGCTCGGGAAACACCGTGGAGGGGAGCTCGTTCCATAGCCGAATGGTACGTGACAAAAAAGACTACTGGAAACGCAATGTAGATGACCGCAGTGGCTCCAGGTAGTATGGATCAACTCTACTCCGGTGGTGGGCAGTGCGATGGTAAAAACGAGATGACGGTATCATCTCGAACAATTCCTCAGAGCATTGCTGATGAAATAATCAAAGAAATTTGGTATCTGGTAATTTCGCCTATACCTAAACTGCAATAACTTTTGTTTCTTATCCTTATCCCGCATGATGTGGGGTAGATTGTAATATTCTCTTGTACTACTGAATAGGAATTTGGAATAGGTTTTACGACCAGCCTGACGTCAACCCTCCATTGCAACGTGCTATGGAATGAACTTTTCCTGGTTCTTCTTCGGTTGTTTTTTTACTTCATCCGTTTTTATTTTATGCATTTTTTTATTATAAACATTTACACTACAATTTTAATTTTCAAATATCACAAGGATAAAAATATTACATATTTGATTCGTTTTTCTAAACCATAAGAACGTGTGAACAATAATAGGTAGAATAAGGGACGTAGCATTAAGGCTCACTAATTAGACGTATAACGACGATTTTGCTTAAGATGGAGACATGAAATCAAAGTTTTTAACTGCACTAGAATAACAGTTATAGATTTAAAAAAAATAAAGCTTAATTGCTTAGCCTCTGATATTGGCATGGTCATAAGTAAGCCCATGCGGACTATATGGCTAACAACACTCAGCAAATTTTTAACTGATTGAAATTTAAAAAGATAGTTTGAAATTGAATTTTTAATGTCTAGATGATAAAATAAAAAAGCACATAAAATTAAGCAGTATAGTGTAATACATGTAACATGAAACTTGTATGTTTTCTTAAAGACAATCAATATTAAATATCTAGAATTGTGGGAGTGGCTATTGCTGGCTTTAATTCAAGGTTTAATATAAAGACGATAAAATGAAACATTGATCATACCTATAAAATAAGATTCAAAATCAGGCTGATGGCTGTAGCTATAGCAGAGGGCTGTTCTGTTTATAGCATTATGAGCCACTGGAAAAGTCTTATCGGCACTTATGTGACGTGCAACCACTACTTTATTAAGACCACTAACTTCGCGTAACAAATCCATTTTAATTTATTTATTAAACACGATTCATTATATTATTATAACGCAAGTAGTTGGTGTGTTTATAACGGCAAGACGAGCGCGCGTTGTCTTGTCTCGATGAATATGAACTGGCGGAGTGGCGACCACAACTTGGTCGCTTCGTGCCCTCCTGAGACCAGCGCAGCGTTCACTTTCTTTCGACATTTCGGATGGCGGCGCAACTATACTAGTGTTGTACTGTTTGATTGTCGATGACCTTCATATCACAAATTCGAACTGTGTCAACTAGCCATCATAATCAGTCAGATTACCAAGAGTAAGGCCGAGAGATTAGCTACTGCCAATCTATAGGTCTACTGCTGATATCAACGTGATATATAGTTTGACAACAGATCCAAATAATCTTCAGTATTTTATTTATTAGATACTCAAAAGGTATGATAATATAGGTATATAGATCTAGAATATATTACAATCTAAAATGAGATCGTTTCTCTTCTTAACTATAAATGCATGCACAATGCATATTATGTTAGTTATAGTGCATAGTAGTAAGTATTATGTAATAATAAAATTTAGTATTAATAGTTTTTTTTAAACTCTAGGAACTGATATTATCAAGGCGGTATTTTTAAATTCTTTAGATATAGAGAATGGGCAATTCAAAAGATTCTAAAATTAATCGATTTACTTACTTATATCATGTTATCATCAATTTTTTTTACTTTGTTTTTATTGTATAATGTCACGTCAATTATTTGCTCATAGAAACTATAACGGCTCCAATTTTATAAGAATATCGACAAATAATTATCTACTTTGGTTTCCCTTCATTGAGAGTACCTATGAGGCAATAACTCAGCATTCAGTGTAACAGCTCACTGTTGAGTGCCCATTTTACTCTACCTAATGCTTCGGTAATAACAGGTTTGTTTCTACATAATAACATTATTACAAAATTGTATTGAAATTTTCTTCGTAAACACGCCCTTACATGGGTAGGTAATTTATTGGATCCAGTAATTAATGTAATATCAAATCCTTAAGGAATGGACATAGTTAATTCTTGAAAATGTTAAGGCTATATCATTACTAAGGTTATATCATTACTTACGTAAAAACTAAGCATAATACCGTGTGTACTAGTCAAATGTTCAATAAATGCAGTGTTTTTAGAGATTATTTTCTTATTCACATATTATAATGATGTGGCTACCATTTTTACTTAACCGTTGCAAGGACTCAACGTTTTAGTTTTTTTCTTTTAAGTTCCCGTTCAGAAATCAAGAAGTTACAAATGTTTGAAGTCTGACGTAGTTAGTTGTAATTATATTAAAAAAGATATAATAATAATAATTTATTTATTAACCTTGAAAACATTTACACATAACAGTATCCTAAAAACTCTCGACTGCGGTCATCCACAGTGCGTTTCCAGAGGTCTTTTTTGCCACAGATCATCCGGCTATGGAATGAAATCCGCTCCACGGTGTTTCCCGAGCGCTATGACATGTCCTTCTTCAAGCGAGGCTTGTTAAGCGGTAGGCAGCGGCTTGGCTCTGCCCCTGGCATTGCTGAAGTCCATGGGCGACGGTAACCACTCACCAACAGGTGGGCCGTACGCTCGTCTGCCTACAAGGACAATAAAAAAAAAACTATTGATGTACTGGGTTCCGAAAACTATGAACGAAATATGCATAAATTTACTATTGTTTTAAATGTACGAGCATGAATATCTCAAAAATTAGAGTGATTTTCGAATAAGAGTTTCAAGTAAGTAAGTTCGTTGTACACTTCGCAGGTAGGTTGTACACTTCGCAATATAAATTGTTGTTTCAGCACCTGATCAATTCACCGAGCAATTCATTGAAATATAATTTCAGTAATATTTAAGTAGGAATTTTAATTATTGTACTTGAAACTTAATTGTAATAGTGAATTGAGGGTCAAAACACATACTGAAGTTTCGCTTTCTAGACTAGATTTCGTAATTTTAATACCTTTCTTTTTTATGAATGAAGCATTACTCGTGGCTCGGAGGCTTTTTTATTTATTATTTATTTATTTATTTAGGTATGTACACACAAAAAAGAAGACATAGTACAGAGTAATAGGAAAATGATGTACAAAGGTACTACTTATTTCTTTAAGAAATCTCTTCCAGCAGACCTGCGAGAGGATTATGAGAATAATAATAAAAAGTGATGAGTGTGTGTAGAACAGCTAAAATAACAAATACAACATGAGAATTATTGTAATACACATACACATAGCAAACATTGTTAAACTTGAATACAAAATATTATAAGTAACACAGTATAGGTATACGAAGAGTATAGAACAATGATCATTCGCTTGATGAGAGATAGAATTGTTTGACCTTGTATTTAAAAACAGAAACAGACTTGCAAACTCGGATGTCAGCCGGCAACGAATTCCACAGTCTGACCGCGTGCGCAATAAAGGAGTGAGAATAGAAATTAGTTTTGTGGGAAGGGAATAACAAGACAGAACGTTAGTTGGATCTGCAGGGAGCATCAGGAGAACGAATAAAAGAGAATCGCTCACGTAAATATAAGGGAGAAGTGGGCTTATGCAGGATATTGAATAGGAGACATAATATTCGAGTATTCCTACGAAGGCGTATAGGGAGCCATTTAAGTTATTGCGAAAAAGAGAAACATGATCGAATTTTCTGAGATTGTATATAAAACGGATACATAGATTTGCAACCTCTCAAGTTTATTTGAGAACTCCTCATTGGCATCCAAGTAGCAAGCATCGGCGTAATCAATAATGGGTAGAATGAGAGCTTGGACGAGAGATATTTTTGTATGCTGAGGTAAGAAGCCCTGCAGACATCTCAACGAATGCAAGGCGAAGTGCACCTTCCTAATAATCTCAGCAACGTGAGAACTCCACGAAAGATGTCGATCTACAATAAGACCCAGGTTTTTAACTGAATCGGTTAAAGTTATTTGAGTTCCATCCAAATAAATTGGGGGGAGTATAGGATCGCTGAGTCTACTACGCAATTGTTTACCCCCTATCATGATAGCCTGTGATTTTCCCAGATTAATATGCAGACCGTAGGCTTTTTGCGCTTGGATTAGAGGTTGTAGACGAATTCGTGTATCTCGGGTCCTGCATCAGCAACAAAGGCTCATGTGAAACTGACGTGCGCCGACGTATCGGAATGGCTAAAAGTGCGATGTCTCAGCTACAGAAGATCTGGAAGAATAGAGGGATAGGCCTGAAAACTAAAACCAGACTGGTGCGGACTCTTGTTTTCTCTATCTTCTTGTATGGAGCTGAGACATGAACGTTGAAAGCAGCAGACCGAATGCGCATCGATGCTTTCGAAATGTGGTGTTGGAGACGCATGCTAAGAATTCCGTGGACAGCCTTCCGGACTAACGTGTCGATATTGAAGCAACTGGGCATCAAAATCAGACTGTCTACTGTATGTCTGAAGCGGATCCTCGAATATTTTGGTCACATTGCGAGGAAAGACGGCGATAACCTGGAAANGTTAGATTACAAGATATGGCAACACTTGGAGGAAAAGGCGTGCTCAAAGCCTCATCCCAATTTGGAGTCACTCAAGACATCCTTGATTAAGGCAGCCGCCGATATTGACATGGACCTCGTTCGTGCTGCGATAGACGACTGGCCGCACAGATTGAAGGCCTGTATTCAAAATCACGGAGGTCATTTTGAATAAACTTTAATGTCATAAGAATCTATGTTTTATTAAGTTCATTTTGGTATATGAATGGTTACATAATGAGTAAACTTGTTTCAATTATTTTACATTAAACATGTGACAGAATTTATGACCTGACTAGGTATATAGATCTAGAATATATTACAATCTAAAATGAGATCGTTTCTCTTCTTAACTATAAATGCATGCACAATGCATATTATGTTAGTTATAGTGCATAATAGTAAGTATTATGTAATAATAAAATTTAAAAAGTCCCTAAAAAGTCCCTAGAGTTTAAAAAAAACTATTAATACTAATTAATAGTTTTTTTTAAACTCTAGGGACTGATATTATCAAGGCGGTATTTTTAAATTCTTTAGATATAGAGAATGGGCATTTTAAAAGATTCTAAAATTAATCGATTTACTTACTTATATCATGTTATCATAAATTTTTTACTTTGTTTTTATTGTATAATGTCACGTCAATTATTTGCTCATAGAAACTATAACGGCTCCAATTTTATAAGAATATCGACAAATAATTATCGACTTTGGTTTCCCTTCATTGAGAATACCTATGAGGCAATAACTCAGCATTCAGTGTAACAGCTCACTGTTGAGTGCCCATTTTACTCTACCTAATGCTTCGGTAATAACAGGTTTGTTTCTACATAATAACATTATTACAAAATTGTATTTAAATTTTCTTCGTAAACACGCCCTTACATGGGTAGGTAATTTATTGGATCCAGTAATTAATGTAATATCAAATCCTTAAGAAATGGACATAGATAATTCTTGAAAATGTTAAGGCTATATCATTACTAAGGTTATATCATTACTTACGTAAAAACTAAGCATAATACCGTGTGTACCTACTAGTCAAATGTTCAATAAATGCAGTGTTTTTAGAGATTATTTTCTTATTCACATATTATCATGATGTGGCTACCATTTTTAACTTAACCTTTGCAAGGACTCAACGTTTTACCCAAGTTTTTTTTCTTTTAAGTTTTTTTTTTTTTTGTTGCTTAGTTGGGTGGACGAGCTCACAGCCCACCTGGTGTTAAGTGGTTACTGGAGCCCACAGACATCCACAACGTAAATGCGCCACCCACCTTGAGATATAAGTTCTAAGGTCTCAAGTATAGTTACAACGGCTGCCCCACCCTTCAAACCGAAACGCATTACTGCTTCACGGCAGAAATAGGCAGGGCGGTGGTACCCACCCGCACGGACTCACAAGAGGTCCTACCACCAGTTCCCGTTCAGAAATCAAGAAGTTACAAATGTTTGAAGTCTGACGTAGT